CATACTTCTCTAATATTTGACATAACAGCAAGTCTTAAATATTTTTCGAATAATTTGCATTGGAGCAGAGACTTAAAATACTCATACAACTATTCAAAGATTATGCAGGCAAGTCAGTTTCAAAAGAGAAGCAAACCTTCCAAATTGGGAACCATGTTTAAGAAGTCATTTCTTCGGTATCCATCACCAAAGGGTAATGGTGAAACCAGTTTCTCTTTTCTATCAGATGTACTCTCTTATCATCTTTGTGCTGTACCACACACACTACTAAATGCTCAGACATCTATGATATTTGTTGAAATAGAGGTACTCTCTTTGGGATCATCATGTGGACGTAACTGGCCCCATCTACATGAAGAGAAACATGAGATTGGAAAACCAGTTTATTCTAATGCTGGACCAATCGAAATTTCAGGGCATCTCAGCATTACTAGCCAACACGTCAACAGTCTTTCTGTGAGGTTCGAGGGTTTATATGATGCAACTGTTGGAGAAATGTATGTAATTGGTTGCAGGGATTTCCGATCTTTTCAAAAGTTCATATACAATGCCACAAAGCTTGAAGGAGGAATGGATTGTCTGATTGAAGTCAAGATAAAGTATCCACCCAGAAATGCACGTTGGCTATTAAATCCAAAAATCAAAGTCTCCATCATCAGCAAAAGGAATGAGGAAGATCCTCTCTTTCTTAGCCCAATCAACCTTGATACCTTTCTGGTATCTTACAAAAAGAAGCTGGATGATGTAGTATTCCGAAAAGGATTTGAGAGTTTGCTTCGGATTCTGCTGCTAACAATTGCAATTCTCTGCACATTAAGCCAATCACTTTACACCAGAAACTAGGGACATCTCACTGCTTACACATCTCTTGTCATGCTTGGTGTCCATGCTCTAAGCTACATCATTCCACTTATCACTGGTGATGAAGTTCTGTTCAAATGGAAAGCGCATTGCTACTGTGGAACCGAAACGTATAACTTTGAGAAGTTCAATTGGTTTTAGGTACTTGACTATGCTATCGAGACTCTTCTGCTAGTTGCATTGGTCATGACTGTCAAACTTTATCAGAAAGTATGGGAATCTCGCAGCAGACAACTTGCTCATGATAATACAGGGAAAACCCGAATTCCTAGTGATAAACTGGTTTTCCTCATCACCTCCACAATTCATATAATTGGCTTTTCAATTTTTCGTGTCATTCGTGAACTGCATGCAAGTCAAGCATTTAAAAACTATTGGTATGCAGATAATAATATCAAGAAGCCGCTAAAATGGTCAATAGTGTTGGACAACTATTCTGGCCTAGTTCAGGATTTCTTCTTACTTCCACAAATTGTAGGTAACATTTTGTGGCACATCCAAGGTAAGCCACTGAGAAAATCATACTACTTGGGCTTCAAAATGGTGAGAGTCTTGTTACACGTGTACGACTATGTGAGAGATCCTATTCCAAATTCTCAAAACAATGACAACGAATTTCAATACTTGAGTTTGGACTTGTACTCTAAGCTTGGTCACATTACAGTTGCAACCACGATGTTAGTACTTGCAGTGAAAGTATATTTTCAGCAGAAATGCAACAATCAGAAATGTTTCCACAAGACAGTGAAGCCGGAGGAGTGTGAGGATCTGGTCCTGAAGTCCGACTTGCATGAAAGGCTGCTTTTCGAGTGATCCAATGACTCGAAGGTGTAATGTGTTTGTTTGCAAAAGTAATGTAGTTGGCATTTGTAGCTCTCTTTAGTTTGTGGTTGTAAAATTGTGTTCTAAGCTTAATAAAGGATTCAGTTGACAACTTGAAATTGCACTTCCAAAAATATCTTAAAAAATTATGATTTGCGTTTGCCGGGAGTCGAACCCGGGTCTATTGCTTGGAAGGCAATTATCCTAACCGTTGGACTACAAACGCAAGTTGTTAAAAAGTTTAATCTTTTAAGTAAAATTGAATGTAGGATAAACTACATTCATCTGTTCAAACATGAAGAATTGCAATTGAAATTTACAAAAGTTGATATCATGAAATGAGACACATGAATTATTTGAATTGACGCAATCAAAGACATGACATGATGGAACTTCAATTGGTCTCCAATCAGGCTCCAACATATAACCTCTTCCAATCAAATCATCTGGCTGGTGTTGATAATATCCCTCACAAGTTCATATAAAATGGCTTTATCCGAATATCAAAATATCAGATCCAACGCAAACAATACATGATTAACAATATCAATCTGAAAATTCTTCAAGGTATTGATGATGTATATATATAATTTATAACCATCTTTCCTTCCAAGATTGAATTCTAATTTATAACCACGCGATTAATTATAAGCATAATTATATAAATTGAAATCCAAACTTAGAAGGAAAGCAAACAAGACTAAAGCTGTCTGAACTATAAGCTTGTCAACTGTTTTCTCATATGACTAAAATTTTGTATGAGGTGGATGACACCAACAGATGTGGAACGTACAGAAGCCCAAAAAAAGCTTAACAACAAAGCATCAAATCGTACAAGTGTGAGCCCAAAAGGAGAACCATCCAATCCTCAAAGCCCAAGCCCATATTATGAAATGACCATTATGCTCATGCATGAAAAGCATATATAAATCTAACCGACAAGAGTTGATTAAAGAACTGAACTTTAAAAAGGGTAAAGTTTGGTTCAATTGTTCTTGGAAATAATGTTAGTAGTTGAAAGTTGAAACCACATAGGAAGTTCATAACCTTTTTTAACATAGAAAACACACTTCAAAAGAAGATACCAAGAATCAATTGGAGCATCCAATGCTAAACCCGTATCTTTGATGGACCACCAAATGATTAATTTGAGCTGCCAATGCCAGTAACATCATTGCCTTTTTTGGGTTTTTTATTTATTTTTCGTCATCCAATAATTTTCAGAACTTTCTTTAATTGCATCAATAGGTTGTATTATATGAATGGCAGGACATAAATCCATATATATATAGTGGGCTACATGTGGGTGGGTGGGCCATTATAGATATTGTCAATTTGAGTGTGTTTATTTTTAAGACATTCCCATATATCTAAAGCTTGTGCTATCAAAAGTCCCACCAAAGAAAGAGATAGTAGTAATTAATAAAGGTTGAAAAGCTAATAATATGTCTATGGATCCAAAGGTTTTAGACGGTGAGGAGGATGTTGATTGAATTAGGATTTCTCAGTCAAGTGAATGAGACGGTTGGTTTTAAGGGCCTTAATTAATTAGCTAAATATCACAACCCCAATTTGAGTCCGACCAAAAGTGTTACTACAGTTCACTTTCGGTGCACCAAAACCTATATCATATGCAGTAGTCGAATATAAAGGGTGAATTTGTCTTTTGACAATGGAACTGAAGCCACGTAGTACAAGCCCCATTATGGCACAAAATAAAAAACCTTCAGAAACATCCTCTTACACTACCACTGTTCCACATAAAATCTTCAAAAGGAAGCTTAATTGCACTGTTGTATTTGTAACGCCGTATATTAGACTTTGACAAATATCGATATGATCTACTAAAAAAAAATATTTTTTTTTTATGTAACAAATACATAAATATAACATCATATATGTATAATCTTGAAAATTAAATGTGATTACATAGAGTTTATATTGTCGTAGTCTTGAGGGGATTATTAATAAGAAAATGGTGTTTCGGATGACATTAAAAAATTACCAAAGGAAATAGGAAGGAAAAAAAAACAGAACAAGAGTGATATCAGCTGCACTTCACAAACATATCCAATGTTTATTATTTAAATGTTTTATAAAATCAATTTGTTTAGTCATATCTTATGTCATTACTCAATTCAATATTAATTTAGAATACATGAGTGCTTACATGCTGGAGTAATCTATTTCCAAAAAAATAGTTCAATTCAAAAGATATTCATGATTTTGGACTAAAGCATATGGTTGGAGTCGATTAGAATTTGAAATGTAATAATTTTTTTAATTTTAGTTACTCCCTCCATCTCAAAATAGTTGTTCATCTTTTCATTTTAGAATATTTCCAAAAAACATATCCCATTTCAAAATAGAATGTATTATTTTTTAGAACATTTTCAAATTATCTTTTTAACTAAACAACTGTAATCAAAAAACACTATTTTATTTTTTAGAAAAAGTATATTCGAAATTTCACTCTTATCAATATAAAAAATTATTAAAATTTCACTATCATAAAAAATTAAATTCCCAAAGCAGGACATATATATTAGAATAGAGGGAGTAAAAGGAAAAATTATACATAATCTAAAATTTAATTGGTCTATCAAATATGAATCAACTAAGATTATTTAATAATTTCCCGAAATAAAACGGATGCAGTTTGTGTTGTAAGTTTAACAAGAAAAAATATATAAAAAAAATACACGAACAAACATGTGTCTTGTAATTACCGGGGCTGGGAGCACAAATGGAAGGGTCTAGAGAGTCGTAAAGCAGAGGCACAGAATCCGGGGCCTGACACACATCCACATGACTGACATCAGTCAAAGGACTCTGCCCCCTTTATTTGTCCCTTACATATATGAAAGCTATTACTCACCCAAAAAGCCGCCCAGCCTGTTTCCCATTCTCTCTCTCTCTCTCTCTCTCTCTACAAACTGACGAATTTATTCCCTCAAATGCCCCTACATTTGTTACTTATTACCATATCTTCATCTTCTTCATCTCATATTGTCTTATGAAAGGAGGAAATTACAGGTAATGGGTGTACAAATATAAGACAAATTACACTCACTAAATTTGAGTCATCCAAAATTTGTTGTGGACCACTCTGTCCTACTTCGGAACGCATCTGAACTTCCTCTCCACTGAGTCTACTAATATCAAAGGTAACAAATTCCTTGCAACACCTACCTTCCTCATGATCTGAGAATCATAATAAAGACAAGTCCTCCGAATTTTTAATTTAGACTTGGCCGTTTCTGATTATAAATATCATACCTACTGATTTGATACAAAGATAAGCCAAACACAAGAGATTTGTATCCTAACTAATAAAATATCTATATCTATATCTATAAATAATTAAATAAACAAAACTAAATCCTTCAATTAGTCAAATTCCAATAAGTTCATGGAACTCTCTTCTCCTTCCCCATACAACTCCCCCCAAAACAAAAAATTCAAAACCCAATGCAACCCGCTAAAAAAAATCACTGCACTGTTTAAATAAATAAAAACAAAAATAAATAAAATGAAATGAAATTTTTTTTTAAAAAAATGACAGGACCCCTTCAATTAGCCAGCATTTTTTTCCATTTGCGAACTTTAAGGAGGACCCATCAAATTTTCTTCTCTTTTTCTTTTATTTTATTAAAATGAATTTTCTCTACTATGTGCTTGCACGAGGTGGGGTCCTTGACTCCTGGGGCGGCGTATGGCCGTCCGATCCTTTTGACGGCTCATCAGACGACTGCCGTAGACCATCATCAGTCTCACCCCTATTCATGTCTTCGATCATTCGGACCACGTCCGGCATGGCGGGTCTCTGATCCGGGACGGTGGAGACACACGCCATGGCGATCTGCAACAGCTGCACCATCTCTTCCTCAATGTTCTGATACCTCATCAGCTCCACATCAAAAACCTCAGCCGTCCATTCCTCTCGCACCACCGACTGGACCCACCTCGGCAGATCAATCCCTTCCTCACCCAGGGACGCCTGATTCGGCGCCTTACCGGTCAACAACTCCAACAACAACACGCCGAAACTGTACACGTCCGACTTGAAGGTCACCTTACGGGTTTCCACCACCTCCGGCGCACGGTAGCCGGCGACGCGGTTGGTTGACGTGGACGCGCCGAAGAGCGCGTTGAGGCCGAAGTCCGATACGCAGGCGTCGTGGTCCTGCTGGCGGAGGAGGACGTTGGAAGATTTTATGTCGCCGTGGACCACTTTTCCAGACACGTGTAGGTGAGCCAAACCCCTTGCGGCGCTCAAAGCTATTCTCATCCGGTTGTCCCAGTCTAGTGGTGTACGGCCTGATCCTCTGCTCCCTGCAAACATTCACCGCCAATTCCGGTCACCACTATTATACTATACTAAAAAATGGCAATACATAAATAAAATCTTTTGTGAAAAGTCAAAATAATCATCAAAGAGGTCTGAAAAGAACAGTTGCTTGGTTTTAAAGTAGATAATTGCCGAACAACTGACGGGTAAATTAGGAAAAACAAAACAAATAGAGAGCTAGGTATTAGCAGCAATAGCTTAAGATTAATTGGAAAAGTTGTTTCATCTCCATCATTCAAAACTCAAAAAGGAACAAAAAAATAATGTCGGCAGTGAATCATTGTGATATGTTGGTGTTCTGTGTATAAATATACTCCATCCAATTTCATGCGCCAGAGTGCGCATTTCACGCCCTTTTGAGTGTTCAGCTTCAACAATTAACAGAGGAGCTTGGGCATTCTGCCCTGGTTAGTAACATCTGGCCTTACCATACTCTACTAAAATATAACAAGCTTCAACATATACTACAAATTCATAAATTCTAAAGTTTCATTATTGTAAAAAATTCAATAACAAACCTAAAAAATGTTGCAACAATTCACATAAAAACGCCATACATATATATATATATATATTTAGAAGAGAATCATACCGTGAAGAAGAGCAGATAAGCTACCAGCAGGCATGAAATCACAGACAAGTAACTTCTCATCCTTGGAGTAGTAGAATGCTCTCAAAGGCACTACATTTTCATGCTTAATTTTCCCCAAAACATCCATTTGGCTTTCGAACTCTTTCTTGCCCACAACCACATCCTTCAGTCTCTTCACCACCACCGTCGTGCCCTCCTCCAACACCGCCTTGTACGACGTCCCAACGCTCCCTTTGCCCAACACTTCCGCCGAAGCCCTCAACAGATCCTCCAAATCGAAACTGTAAACCCCACCATTGAAGAACACCAATTTGTTTCTCTCTGCTTCTGCTGACCCCGTGATGTCTTCCTTCGACGACGATGTCCCCATTTCCGTCGCCGCCGCTACGGACCGCGCCGTCGCCGGCGGCTTAGGGGATTTTGAAGTCGTTCGCCGGCGTTGCTTCTTTCGCAAGAAGAGGATGAGAATTAGTAATAACAGGAGTAGTATGAAAGCTGAACCGACGGAGATACCTATAATGGCCGCCGTCGAAAGCTTTTTGGATTTCTTGCTTGTTGGTTTTTGTGGTGGCGCAATTGAAGACGGTGACGGGGCTGGTGAAGGAAAGAACGGATTACACGGCGGCAATGGTGCGCCGCAGAGATTGAAGTTTCCGGTGAATGCAGATGCAGGGAATTTCGATAGGGTTCCAGGGATTGAACCGTTGAGATGGTTGTTTGAGACATTGAAGTCCACTAAGCTTTGTTGATTGATGCTCGGCAGCTGACCGGAAAACCCATTGTTTTCCAGGAAAAGTTTGGTTAACTGGGTTAGATTGTTGACGGCGAATGGTATTGTTCCGGTGAAGTTGTTGGTGGAGAGATCTAGACGGGCCAACCGAGTTAACTCGGTGACGGTGGTTGGGAACTCGCCGGATAACTGGTTGTTCTGGAGGTAGAGACTACGGAGAAGCTTTAGATTGGAGAAATCAGAGGGAATCTGACCGATTAGACGGTTAGAGCGTAGACTAAGTACTCGGAGCTGAGTGAGTTTTCCAATTGTGTTCGCCGGAATCTGACCCACAAGGCCAACGCCCGGAAGCCGGAGTGAGTAGACAAAGGAGCGATTGGCGTCGCATTCGACACCGACCCAATTGCAAGCCGAGTCGGAGGCGTTCCATTGGATGCGATTCTCGTGAGGGGTCTGTGAGATAAACGCAAGGAGGGCTCGCTTGTCGTCAGTCGGCTCCGAGTTGACCCGCTGATTCAATAGCAACAGAAGTGTAACTGAGAACAAAGCAGAAACAAGAATCTCAGATTTTAAAAACACTGCCATTGATGTATTTTGTACTCCCTAACTTTGTTTCTATTTGTGGGCTTGGGGTGGTGCTTTGTGGTGGCGATTTCGGACGGACCCAAAAGTAGTCGGGCCGTGAGAAGCCATGAGAGAGGGGGGGGGGGGGGGGGGGGGAGGGATTTTAGAGAGAGAAAGAGGTTGAGGGTACTGTGAGTGGGAGAGAGAAAGACGATAGGTTTTGTAAGAGATCGATGATGGTATCACGAGGTCACTCAAAAAGTGAAAAAGCTGAAAAAACAGAAGCTCTTGTGCTGTTGTGCTGGCTGAAAACGTTTTTCTGATTTAAATATTTATATGCATACATTTATTTAAAGGTCTTTAAAATATTGTAAATAATTTTTTTCCTAAATATAGAGAAAAACAAGTTTTTATAAGAAAAGGCTGATACAACTCCCCCTCCTTGCTTTTTAAATGTCACTTTTTATAAATTTAAATTTTTAAAATGTAAGTTTTAATATTTTTTATTATATTAATAATAAATGAATTACCAAATCTATTTATAGTGAATTCACATAATGTGATGTTTTACATTTAATTATTTTTATGTTGGTTCAAAACTTAAATTAATAATATTATAAAATATAGTATAATAAATTTTGAATTGAAACAATTATTTAAATCTAGAAATTTATTATGAGAGGAAGAGAGTATTAAATATTTATTATATATATACTTATCTTCTACCATAAGTGTGCTTACTAGAATAATTCTTGCTCCTTTGAATACCACAGTAACGCCCACACAGAAATTAGGTTCATCAAGTTTGAGCAAAAACATTTGGATGGTCATTTTTTATTTTTTATTTTATTTTATTTTATTTTTTTGTACCAAGGATGGTCAATTTAAAATAATAATAGTAGACTGTGAATCTCTTAATTAGCTAATAGCTATCAATAGACATGGACAAAGATGGTCTCATCTCTTAGTCCTAAATAGAAAGTTAAAAGTGTATATTGTATTTGGTAACTTTTGAAAAAGTAAAGCGAAAGTAAATAGACAACAGTGTTTAATAGAACATATGAATATTTGTTGTAATATGTGCACAATAGTTTTTAAAATTCTATTTCATTTTTAGTTTTATCATTAGTACCAAAAAGTCTTGAGATATGGACAATTTATACAATTCATTAATTTTACAAATATTAACAATCTCCAATACATCATAATAAAATGCAATATTCAATTTAAAATCACAAATCTTAATAATACTTAATACATAAGTACAAAAATAAAATATACTATAATAAAAATGCTTTCACCAATATGGACAACATTATTATCTTATATTTAACATATAAGGAGTAGTATATTATTATAAATAGATAAATGTTAAATAGTATATTTTTATGTAATAAAATATATAATGTATTATAAAGTTATATATTAATTATAATATAACTTTATAAATTAATTGTAATATAATATTTTCATATAATGTAATATAGAGTCAATAGACATGGTATATAATAATATAAATATCTATTGCATAATAGTTTATCAACATTATATAAAATAAAATAAAACATACAACAAATCAAAAATATTTTGGTCTAAAAAATTCATTTAAACTATTACAAATATATTTTTAATTCCTATTTAATATGTAGCATTATTATAAAGTATGAATAACATGAATTTTGTTTAAAATGAGCCTTCAAAAATATATATATATATGAAACGGCTACATATTCAAATGAAAATATATCCCCTATCGTCAAAATTGGGCCAATGATTCTATCAGACGGTACCTCCTACAGTGTTGTTCACATCATTATTTGGCGAAACCATGTGAGATTGGTTGTGATTTAAATAGCTAAAAACTTTTTTATTCAAGTTTTCTACCATATATATATATCTATATATGTATTTACCCTACCAATGGTTTGAAATTTATTTATTTATTATTATAATTATTTTGGGTAAACAAGCTTTAAAATATTAGTCTAAAGAACAACTTTATACAACTTTGACTGCTAACAATGTCATCAGAATGTAGTTACATATGGCAATGCGGGGTTAAATTTGGTTGAATATATACACCACATTCACGAGTTGGCAAGTGGAGAAAGTGAAGAACATTGAGATTTTTAGGATTTGTTTGGTTTATAATTTTAAAAACAGTTCTTAAGAATTTAGAGAATAAAAAATAATTTTTAAAGAAAAATTAGGTTTTTTTACAACTGAACTTTTAAAAAATTGAATCAAATAGAATTTTTTTTTTATAGAGTAGTCTATTTTTAATTTTTTAAAAATAAAAAACTGTTTTCAGAATTACAAACTAAATAAAACTTCTATAATTTTATCAAATGAATAGCACAATCCGTCAAGAATTAGTGTCAGATTTAACATTTTTTCTGTTTAATTTGTATTTATCTTCTGTTCCTTTTTAGTGGCTCCCCATCATTTTGCGTATTAAAATTTTCCTTTTTTTTATTAGCTGGGTAGGTAGGATCTTCATTCATTTTCTTCTTCTTTGTCTTTTATCTCCCCCACACTATTACAGCATGTGTTTTTCTGGACCCGTCAAAAGCATTTCAGTTAAAATAAAAAATAAAAAATTGCAAGAAGTCAATTAACGACACTGAAAATATTTTTAAATTCAATACACTTGAATAAGTTAAATTTTTTTTGAATACCCCAACCAAGTTTGAGTGTGAATAATGTAACATGAATTTGAGTTTACTTTTGACCACAAGATTGATGATGTAAAAAGAATCTGGTCATTTTGTTCATATTTATGTGCTTTATTTTTTTTTTTTTAACATTCACTATTGACGGGAGCTGAACAAAATACTACTGAATTACACAGTCAACCATTGAAATAAAACACATTACTTTCGATTTTAAAACCATAAAATAGTTAGGAAACCGAAAGGAGGTTGAGTAATTCATTCTTGCATTAAAATGCAACAATTAGAATATAGAATAATTAATTAATTCATTATGAATTGACACATCCACAATCTTAAATTAAATTAAAAGGCTAAGGAATTTTGAAGCCGGAACAATATATATGTCAGAGATTGAACAATTGGTGAGCCGGCCATTGCGTATCAGACTCGGTCCATGGAATGACAACTAGCCTGGTGGACTTATCATCATTATTCCATGGCCGAAATATATATATATATATATATATATAAAGCGCTCACTCGGTTGTTTGTATTCACATTTTTCTTCTCTCTTTTTCACTTTTTTTTTTTTTTGGTTACAAATTAAAATTCCACATATATATTATGATGTTGCGTGATAATAATATCTAAGAAGGGTCGCTTTTGGAGCTTGAGAGAGAAGCTTCAATGAAGAAAAATGGTCCCTGCTGTGGTGGAAAGAGTAGTCCCATTCCAATCATGCATCAAGCTAAAAAAAAAATAAAGACTACTATAAAGTTTCAAGTAAACTAAAATTGAATATATGTACACCACAAACAAGCTATCATGATTTTATTCTTTATCATCACAATGCTATATAGATATAGATATATAATGTCCCACACGCTATGAACATGAATAGGTCAACTTAATTGGCTTTAAACATCATCATCACGAATGATAAGACAACTATAAATAACTCTGTTAGCTGCGGTGATGTGATATAATTTATACCATCTTTTGAGACTTTTGAGCATTAATTAGCAAGAACCATCGTCAATTGGATTAAAAATCTATAGATTTAAGCCCAAGCTAAATAAATACTGAGAGAGAGATTCATAGATGATTTAGTTCGAGCATAATTTGTGTTGCACCTTGGCCTGCAGGTGTATCAAATCCAACTAATCTTTAGATTGTTATAACTCGGCTTGATGGTCATCTGTGAATTTAGTTTGAATTCGGATCAGCTTGAAATTGTGTAGGTTTTTTTAAAGCTCATAGTCATAAAAGGCTAAATGAACTAATGTTTATAAATATAAATGAGCTTACACGAGTTTATGTTCCTAAAACTGTACAAGCCGTACTTTATATCGTACTAGATTGATCCATTTATTAATTAAACGAGCTTAATTTAAAATTGAACTTGAACTCAACCCATTTGATTAACAAACAAGTTGGATGGGGTCTGGGGCGGAGCCAGAAATTTAATTCAAGGTGGCATAGTGTGAAGAAAAAAAAAAAAAAAATTAATAATCACGAAAATAAATATAGATTCTATAAATCAAGAGACAAAGAAAAAAAATTACTCAAAATAATATATCAATCAATAAGTAATTTAATAAAGATAAATAGTTAACAAAAAATTTAAAAGGGAAAAAAAAATGAGAATATTTTGAAAGTGGAAGAAATTAGAGTTTGATTCAAAAAAAGAAATTTAAACTTTTTTAAAAAGAAACTAAACGAGTTTAAAGAATAAAAAAAAAGAGAGAGAGAAATACAAAATTTAATAGATAATTTTAGAAAATAAAAACTTTATGAATAAATTTAATATATATATTATAATAAGCGAGGCTAGGCCAGAGGGGACACGTGCTCCCTCTAAACATACACCGGCTCCATCCCTGGATGGGGTTCAAACTTTAAATAATCGAGCCCCAACTCCATTCATTTGCAGGTCAACTTATGTCCTCCAAAAATCAGTCTTCACCTAATGAAAAACTTGCTACAAAATGACTTCCTTAAAAATATGGTAGAAGTAGAAGACCAAAACACATTGTTCTACCCAATTATTGGTTTGTAGCCTCTGTCCACTATATTAAATACATGTGAGTATATATATATATATATATATACGAATGATATATTTTGATCAAGGTCTGAATGAAGGAAAGAGGCAGACAATGGTTTGAATGCTCCCCAGAGCTAGCATTGAAGGGCGATTGCAGTGGCTTCCACGGCTGTTGACTCCATTAGTTCATTTGAAGGAGACACTATATTTATTCATTTATAGTACTCCTACAAGTCAACAAATAGGTACAATTTGGTCCCTTAGATGAGATAAAAGAAAGGTTGTTGCAAAATGAAACTATTTAGCTGTCACATTTAAATGCCACCAACGAATGGAGAGAGATGAAGTAAGGAAGTGTGTACACAAACAATTGTGGTCAACTTTTCAGCCTCACATAAATGCCAGTTAGTTGTGGTTGTACCAAATCTATCCCATGTCCTGAAATATTTTTACATCATGCACAAATGGTTGCCATTTTGACCGCTATATGTGCATTAATTTTGCTGGTATATGTAGGTTTTGCAACTGTTTTCAACTCCTCATAAATTTGAGCAGCCACACACAATTTCAACCATCTAGAATACCCGAGTACAGTACTGTAGTTCGGATCTTCCAGAACGTATTGTTGCGATCCACCAATAAATGATTCAACGACTAAAAACCCAGAGGCATGGTATTCCAGAATATTATAAAATTTCATAACGTTGAATAATGTTTATTAGAGTCATCAAAAAAATCGATTCAAACATCATAGCATCACTCAATATGTATACTAGCCAATTAATAGCGAGCGCACGCGTCACAAAACCTTTTGTAGGGCTAAGTTTGTCCACCTTGTCGCTCAAAGCAATCATCAGAATTGCTTCCCCTGCATGATAGCCATTGATGGGTATGGGGATGGGGATGGGGATGGGGATTCAAATTTTATACTCTATGTGGCATATGGTAACTAGTTCACTGGTTAGATTTTGTTCTGAAATTGATTTTTCGTTTTAGTGAAGAAGAAAATGAGAGGCCATTAATTTTTAAAATTTGGGGGATGTAATATTTGTCACCATTTTTTTTTTTTTTCTTCTTGTTTTTTCTTTTGTATGTTACAACAATTTGGCTGTTGTGGTTTGTTCTATTTAGCTATGGGCTCATCACATAAGAGTGGTTAATTTTGGAAGATAGTATTTGGAAGACGATGAGAATGAACATTCTTTCTTGGATGTTTGTCGTTGAGTTGTTTCATTTGGCAATGTAATTTAGTTACTGGTTTGAGTGTCACAAAAAAGTTTATTTACTTCAGGTGTTAGGATTACTTGCTAAGTGAAGGAGAGCTCGGATGTCACTCAACACTCCATATTTCAAATTCAATCAAACATTAAAACATATATATATATATATATATATATATATATATATACATATATTCCCTTCATTCCAAAATAGTTTTCCATCTTTTTATTTTGAGATATCCCAAAAAATATGGCCCATTCCAAAATTAAATATACTATTTTTTATAACATTCTCAAACTATCCTTTTAATTAAACAACTACACTAATTACGAAGCACTATTTTATCTTTTAGTAAGGACATATTTGAAACTTCACTCTTATATAATAAAAAATTATTAAAACTCCGCTATCATAAAAAGTTACATTTCCCATACAAACATGTATATTGGGACGAGCGTGTATAAGATATATATATATATATATATATATATATATATATGTATATAAGATCATCTGTATATATACGCTGTGGTTGCTTGCATATACATCTAGTGACGCACTCCATCATGGATACGGTTCGCTCCTCTGAGCTCTTAATACGAGTATTTTGGATTTGGGCTTTGATTCTTGGAACGGTTGGTCCATTACTGTATTTGACGGTTACTTTTGGGCCTAATTTCCTGTTGGGCTTCTTCCTTTGTACATTCTTCCTTATTCATATAAAATTTCCCACGCGTAAGCACATTAAAAGAGTAAATTTTAAAGACAAAAATAACCTCTATTGTTTTATCCTTGGGAAAACTCTCTCTTCCTTCTATTTCTCACAAATAATAATATAATAAATAAATAAATAAACAACAACAACAACAACAATTTCAACCACTCTCTCTCTCTAGATATTTCTCATCTAGGAGGTACGATGTGGGACACAAGTACGACCCGATACGAATACAGTGATAAGATAAAAAAAATTAGATACAAGTACAACATGAATATGTAAAAAAAATAGTAATATAATACAATTATTATATATATAAGTAATATTTTTTTGTCATTTTATCCATATAATCATGAGTAAAATAATTAATTTGGAGCTTAAAACTAGACGTTTGTAATTTTTGTATTTTTAGTTTTGTATTATTTTTCTAATTAACTCATATTATATTTTAAATTGTATCGAATCCCATTATATCTGAAAAATATATTTTTTATTAATATTTAATATGTAGCATTAATATATAACATGAATAATATAGATTTTGTTTGAAATGAATTGTATTGGTGTACTAACACTACATTGTAGTATATTATAACAATTCACAAATTTACAATGCATATGCATCAAAGACTAATATGATGCAATTTTAACCGATCCATATAAGTTGATTTGATTTAGAGTCTATTTGTACTTCAACCGTTTAAACAAAAGTCGAGATTTGATATCTTACTGGAACAATAAATGACATCATTTTAAAAAAGATTAATCCTCTTCTGAATTTAGTATCTTACTATACTATTTTAAAAAGATAAAGACCATGTTGGTTGCAATGTCATGATCTAGTGGCAGTTGAAAAGAGAGAACTTGAAAAGTCCTAAACACATTACACATAAATATACAGAGCATGATAATTGAGACCTGAGAATGAATAAATGAAGTGTGACAAGCTTCAAATTGAGACCATTCACAGCTTACATTACCCTCCCATTCAGAGCAACCATAGCATTATATAGTGGATAGGATAAGAAAATGAGTAAGAGCCAATCCGGGGTTTCTCTGTCTTTATCAAAGAAATTGAATGATAGGTCCAACTCACTTCCACTTGTCATTTTCCTTTGTTCTTCATACTTCAGTTTATTAATTACCCAAAAATCTGCAAAGATTCATGAAATTTGAAAAAAGAAAAAGAAAAAATTGAATAAAAAATTTGAAATTGACTTGGCATATATATTCAATATTAAGACCACAAATAAAAAAGCAAAAATATTTATAAAATAAAAAAAAAAATCATGTTTTTATTGTTTAAAAAATTAGAGATTCTATCAATTAAGTTACTGAATAATGTTCAAAATTTTAAGAATTAACATAATTTAACTTATGAACTCAAATATTATTTTTTTAAAATTAATTTTTATTTATGTAAAATATTATGGAATTTAACCTCACAAATTACACACGATAAACAATCCAATAAGATGTAGTTGACCTTGGCCTTTTATTCAAATCCAACGGCACAGAAGGGAACTTATAATCACAAATGCATCAGAATAATCTTAGGTGCCTACTTATGATTTCTTGGTTGACGGTTACAGCCGAGGACGTGTGGGAGGTCTATGATAGATTACAGATTTTCAGTCCTCAGAAACGACGCAAACCCTTTTTATTTATGAATTTGCAGAAGAAGGAGCTTCTTTAATTCTGGATTAGGCGCGTGGTTCATTGTTTTCCACGACCACCACATCCATCTCAGCTTCTGCTTATCTTTTCTCACTCTCTATCTCCAACTTATGTTTGATACTGTCTGAACTAAAAACCCTATCCACTCATTTGCTCGATCCCATATTTAATGGCGTCTATATCTCGATTTGTCGCCAAAGATTGTAGATTGTGGCCCTGTGATGCCATTTACAGGCCAAACACTTGTTTTACACCAAGAAGGTCTCAAACCGATTTGCGTATGTATTGAATTTTCAATTTTTTTAACTTAATTTTTACTTTGTTTCTTTTATTTATTTGTTTTGGCATATGGGTTCGTGTTATTTTGCCTTCTAATATTCAAATTATTCGTTTTCAGGACTGCTTTGATTGCCTTTTTAGGTATCTGAAATTTATTGTAGATAGGGACGCGTTCATCACTTTCTCACTCTGTTTCTTTGTTTTATGCGAATTTCTTAGATATAAGAGGTGGGTTTTGTGTGCCCGAGAATGAGAGACGTTTGGCAATCCAAAATAAGCCACGGAGTCCAATTGCTGCTCTCTCAACCTCATCCCCAATTATTCAACCCTCTCGGTATGTTCTTATATCAACTACTTCACTAGAGGAAGCTTATACACACATGCACGTGTAGTTGTTTCTCTATTATACCTATGCATGTTTATAGAACTTTATTTATTTATTTATATATATATATATTTTTTGCTGATAAAATTGTATATATTGTCACAATTAGTCTTATGTGCTGTCAATTTGATTGTGTAAGAGAAACTTTGGCAGAATCTTATTCCACAATTTCCACTGGATCATGGCCACATAACATACTTAAATAATGATGGAATTGAGCCACTGTGTCCATGTATGTTAACTTTTGAAGAAGCATAGGATTGAAGGGAGAACATCTCCTGTTTCTTTTGTAATGTTACTAATGTAATACATAGATTCTTTGTGTTTAGAAAACGACCAATTTCCCCCAACCCCAGAAAAGAAGTCCCCAAGCTCTCTCAGTGTCAGTGGTTGGTTGATTGCATTTTTAACAGTATTTTTGTATGATTTGTCTAGATATTATTTGCACAGTATGAATAAATTGTTTGTTTTGCTCTAGCAGAGAGGTAGATGAATCCACGTTATCTGTCTCTTAAAATTTCACTTTATTAAGCAGTTTAGAGTTTTTTTATTTATTTTTATTTTAAATGTGGGAATGTGGGATCCTTTTCTTTTTTCCTTTTGTCTCTCCAATGCATTGTACTTCCTAAATGCTTCTTTCTCGCATAATACCCTCAATCTAAGAAAAATGACAGTTCTTTTTCTTTTTTTCTTCTTTTTAATTTTTCACAAACACCCATTTTAATCATGACAATCCTTTGTTTTCTGCTATAACTAGGAATTCAGAAGTTCTGTGCAAGGCAGCAACAAATGTACCTGGAGATTTTCCCAGTAGCAGCCCTAGTGGAATGAGCCAATTTGAGAGAATAATTGAAACATTGACGACCCTTTTTCCTGTTTGGGTATGTTTTGTGTTTCTTTAGAACAGTTGGATTTCTTTCTAGTCCATTTTTTTTTTTTTTTTTTTGCCCTTTTTGTACTTTATCTGTATGCATACTTCAATTTGCATCCATAATTTCTTTTCTTTTTTTTCTATTAATGAGAAGTTACATGTTTTAAATCTGATTACTTTTACAGGTCATATTGGGTACCGTTATTGGCATCTATAAGCCTGCTGCGGTAACTTTGTCAGTCTATTTCTGCTATTTTGATGAACTACAAATCCAGTGTTGCTTAACTACTTGAAGTTTTGGATGTTCTTTCAGGTAACTTGGTTAGAAACAGACCTTTTCACTGTTGGCTTGGGTTTCCTGATGCTTTCGATGGGATTGACATTGAAATTTGAAGATTTCAGACGATGTCTAAGGAACCCATGGACTGTAAATAGAAAATCATTCATATATAAGCTAATAAAACTGCTAATATGATGAACTCTTTTTTATATTTAACATAGCTATTTAATTTTTTTTTGGTCACAGGTTGGTGTAGGATTTCTTGCTCAATACATTATAAAACCAGTTTTGGGCTTCTTTATTGCAATGGTATGCTTTCATCAACTTGTTTAACTTTGTTATGTCTCATTTCTTCATTACTTCCTTAAATGCTCTATCTCTGGTGATCCAACAAATAATAGAGTGGAAAACCTTCATGACTGGTAGATTCCAGGGGAACTTTGGTTTGAGTTGTTATGATTTTGTATACTTAAATAAGCCCTCCATTATTGGCATGGTATTATTTTTCCACCTTAATTATTCTGTTATTAATAATACAGTATTGTAGTTTAATATGCAATTTTTTTAATGAAAAATGAAATGTTCTAGAGTCTTGCTTTGAAAATGTCCTAAGCTAAAATTGCTAACTCTTATATCTTTGATTTGCAGACTCTAAAACTATCTGCACCACTTGCAACTGGTCTTATTTTGGTTTCTTGCTGCCCTGGAGGCCAGGCATCAAATGTTGCAACATATATTTCAAAGGGAAATGTAGCACTTTCAGTACTAATGACAACGTAATCTCAATTTTATAGCTTTGCATTCAATAGTGTTATTTTGGGTAGAACCGTTTCTGGCTAACCCTTGTTGCAGTTTGCTATTATGCTTTGTTGCATCTGAAATGTTTTTGTTATAGTTTAATGCACCATGAAATTTGGTTTCCTTGTCTGGCTTGAGAAAGAATAGTTCTATGCTGCAAAGAATGTGTTTTGCTTGTCTGTTTTTGCTATGAAATAGTTCTATGCACCAGGAAATCTGTTTCATTCATCTGGTCTTGATAAAAGTATGAGCCGATATATTTTCAAGAAAACAGGGCCATAGCATCATTCTTTTCTCTTCTTTTTTCCGTCCTTTTCTTTTTGGAAAAAATAAGATTTTGTGTTTAGTACTTTAGTAAAGTTGATATGTTTCAATCCAATTCAATCTGCCATGTTTATTTATTTATTTTGTAATTTCTTGTATTTATTGCAATTTGTGTGAAAATGTTCTTTTTTTGTTTAAAGAAACGATCAGTAAGTCAACTACTTAACCTATATGTTTACTTTTTAAAATTTACATTGCATTATTATTTTTGTATCTTTAGCACTGTATTGATATTATAAACTTGTATGATGGTAAGCACGGTCCATTGGTAATGTTAAATCATGTACGTTCCATGCCTTCTCATTTATCATAAAAAATAAATATTATAATTCTTGTGTTCATCAGTATACATCTATCAAAAACAAAATAAAATGCCGAGGAATCTTTTTGCGTTATATTGATTGTGAAAGTTAAAACCTAGGTTTAATAAGCATTCATCTTTAACATGTTAAAATATGGACTTCAAAGAATCAATTATTTGTTTGAGTGGTATCTTATGCCAACCCAAAAGGGCAAGGCATGTTCTTGTTGATACAAGGGTTCCTGTATATTGCTTATTAAAATAATAATAAAAAGTGCTTCATATTTAATACTATAAGAAAACACGTGCAACAAAAAATTGCTGTTTGTGTGACTGTGATGATAATTTTCATGATGTAAGGAAAGACGGTAATTACATTCCAGTTCATCAGCCTTCTAACAAAAAGAAGTACTATCGGTTTTACTAAAACATTGAATATTCATTGGCTTCCGTTCATATGGGGTGCTGGGAGGGACATACTAGATACAAAGCAAACCTTTAGCATGCACAAAATAGCTGCCAGGTCACATCCATGTTTATATACTTAGCAGCCTAAGGCCCCTAAATTTATTAAGCAACAATAAATGTTAATTTTTATATGGATTTTGATGTTATAGGGGTGTTATTATCTGACTTTCAGTGTTTCTTTGAGGTTTTTGTAGGTGCTCAACTATTGGGGCCATTATTATGACACCACTTCTTACTAAGCTTCTTGCTGGTCAGCTTGTTCCTGTTGATGCAGCGGTTAGTACAGATTCTTGATAATGTACCACTTATATAAGGAATTTTTTATCTTGTGTGGAATCTAGATGTTATTTAAACCTTGAAGAACTTCTGCACTTGTTTTATCTGGAGTTGACCAATTGGCAAACCAGTAATAGTTTTTTACTGGGCAGGATGCTATTTCCAGCTTCAACTAAATACCTGTTGTGTTGGCTGAGGCCTCCTTCGGAATTATACACCATTCCATATTGTACGCAGATTTGATTGACCATCAATTCATATTTCTAGATTAGCTGGGTAGTAGCTGTTCAATTTTCTTACTGTATTATTATTAATATTCCAGCAAAACATTCTAAGGCTGCTTGCCATAGGGTGATGAATAGAAGCAATAAGTAACGGTGGTCATTTCCACTTATTGATGAAAAGAAAACATTTGTTATTCTTCTTGTTATGTTTTCAGGGCCTGGCCATCAGCACTTTTCAGGTTGTTTTAGTGCCAACAATTATCGGAGGTAAATTTTTTTTTCCCAGGTTGTCAGAGATAACTTAAAGATGTTTCAATTTAGTTTCTATTGGTGTTGATTGTGCAGAAAGTTGAGGTTACTCTTATTCACATCATATCTTTTAGAAAGGATGATGAATCCAGACACAAATCATTTAATCTCAGTTTCACTTTATTTGGCAGTGTTGACTAATGAGTTCTTCCCCAAATTCACTTCGAAAATAGTCACAATCACGCCTTTAATTGGAGTTATCCTTACCACCCTTCTTTGTGCAAGCCCTGTAAGATCTCAAAATCCTCTGCAGTGCTTCACATTCACTGCTTTACCAATACACTCAATATCTTGGTACTTGTGGTTGTTTTCAGTAGAAAATAACTTACTTTATTAATTCATTTTGTAAGATTGGCCAAGTTTCAGAAGTCTTGAAAACTCAGGGAGCACAATTATTACTTCCAGTGGCCCTCCTACACGGTGCAGCATTTGCTCTCGGTTATTTTATTTCAAAAATATCATTTGGTGAATCAACTTCTCGGACCATTTCCATAGAATGCGGGATGCAGGTAACTATGGTTTAAATCTGTAGATATGTTCTTCTTCCTACAAAACTATTAATCGAAACAAGTTGTGTTCTCAGTAACGTCACTAACTCATTGATTTGAATATGCAGAGCTCTGCACTTGGATTTTTACTTGCCCAAAAACATTTCACCAACCCTCTTGTAGCTGTTCCTTCTGCTGTAAGCGTTGTCTGCATGGCGGTAGGATTCTCACTTGCCCTTACTTTGTTTTGGTTTTAAAATCATTCATATTTTAGTTTGTTATTGAGGTCTAATCACTCATCACAATCCTTATATCATTCTCCTCCTGGCAGCTTGGTGGGAGTGCTCTAGCAGTCTTTTGGAGGAACATGCCAATTCCCGTTGACGACAAGGATGACTTCAAGGAGTAGGAAGTTTTAGTCTTTCTTCTCGGTGCCATTTTCTTTAGGCTGCTGTTAGTTTTAGGTACATTAGCTACTCATTTTACAACAAATAAGATAGTTATGGGGTTTTATGTCAATTTTTTTTTTCAGTTATTGCCAAAAATTGAAAGTAGATGTGGTTTTATGCAGTTTGCCCTAATAAAAACAACAAAGTTATAATCAATAAACTCGTCTCTTCTTACATTGGCGGGATCGAAATGTTGTGATTTGTGCAGTCAAGATTTAATGTTGAAAATTGTAGCACGTGCAGTTGTCTATGTAATATGTAGTGATATTTTTTTTTAAGAATCATCAGGGCAATTGAATGGGTCTGTCTTTGGCCATAGACCCTTTGTATCCATTAATCTATTTACAGGGAAGTTAAGTTGACACAAACAGTTGAGGAGGTTTGTTTTAGTCCACTATATTACAATGGCTAAGCTTCTAAGAAAATTGTCTAAGAGATTACATTTTTGCAACGGAAGGAGCCTCGGGCACTAGGGTAGCTCCCTATTTGCATCAATGCGAATTAAGTCTAGTGCCTTGTGAAAACAAATAGCCTTGGCATCAAGGTAGTCTTTCCATAACACCGGCCGATATAGAGGAGGATGGTCAGGATCGGTCAACTTGATCAACGGTGAGATCTTGACATCCTTTGGTGGGCCATAGAAGTAAGCAATTGAGACGCGGTGTTGGGCATTGTTCACGACCGCTCGATGCAGTGCATTCTTGAACCGGCCATTGGAGATGATGTGCAAGAGGTCGCCGACGTTGACGACAAATGCACCGGTGACCGGTGGCACATTGACCCAAGCTACCTTGTCTCGGAGGACTTGCAGGCCATCAGTGTTGCTTTGGTGCACCAAAGTCATGAGTGATGAGTCTGTATGAGGGGCTAAGCCCATGGCATGAGTTGGGTCTGGGCAGACTGGGTATGAGTTCAATTGAAGCGCAGATTGTGAATGTTTAAATTTGGACATGAACCATTTCACCTCTTCATGGGCCAATCCGAGTGAATTAAGCATCAGCCCAATCATCCACTCAGATAGTCCCTTCATCTCCTTTTGGTACTCTTCCATTACATCACTGCATCAAGATCCAAAGGCTTAATGTCCCAAATAGTCCATCATGAATTTTTATTTTTTTATTTTAAATAAGGCAATATTTGTATAACAGTAATAAATACACAATTATTATCCGACCAATATGTGTATTATACCCATCTATATATGTACACACAATAGGTGTAAACGGTGTGTATGGGATGGCAAAATCCCAATACTCGTCAGGTCCTCGCCCTGTTTTTGGCGGATTTGGGGATCCATTTATGTAAATGGAGAGGGAATGGGGATTGTATTTGAAACCTCGGTGGGAGATGGGACGGGGGCGAGGGAGGGTAGCCTGGCCCCGCCCTACCTGTTTATAGTGCATTTTTACAAAATTGCCCTTATATGTTATAAAATATTACTAAATTACATAACTATATATATAATATATTCACTTCTGAAAGTGAAATCCAATATCTATTCCCTTGCAACATAGAGAAAAAACTTAGTCATTTTGCATCAAACATCTGATCATATTTTAAATTGTTATAATTGTGCTGAAACTTTATTTAATTATTAAGTTGAAAAATATTATTGCTGTGTTGATTATGTTGAAGGTGAATTGGAATTTAAAAAATGTTATGCGGGGCAGGGCGGGGAGGGGGGCTAATGTGGTAAGGTGGGCCGGAGATGGGGGAGGGGGTTGAAAGTTGAACGGGTATGGGGTGGGAATAGGGGTAAAAATTTTGACCGAAAATAAAGAATGAGATCCCCGTCCCACCCCGCCCCGTCCCATTGTCATCCCTATGTGTATCTCTCTGTTGTAGTCCAAAACTCTGTGCATATCCAGACACCGCATAAGAGCCATAGCCATAGGCGACAGTGCCACAGTGCTACTAAAATACTCTTGTCTCCAACATTTTCAAATTATTAGTGTAACGCAATAATAATTTGAACACCTATTTTTTTTAAAAAAATTATAATAAATTTACAAAAGAAAAAAAAAAATAATGATTCTTTCTTGGAAAAGGGCAAGACCGAAGTAACAGATAAAAAACAAGAATTTACTACCCTGTCACCTACATGCACGTACCAGAAATTGTTGTAGTCGTGAGGCCAAAGTTGGCGTGCATGACCCTCCGGTGAGCCTATCACCGAGAAGCCCTCCGACCACATCAGCTTGGGGAAGAGCCGTCCAATTCGGGCGAGGCCGTAGCCGGTAAAACCATCCGGTGATCGCAAGGCCTGGAGTTTTTGCTTCGCCGGCAAGGCAAACAATCGCCGTGTTTGATGCTCAACTTGTTGAATAAGGTGGACGGGAATGCCATGGTTGGTAATTTGAAACATACCCCATTTCTCACTTGCATGTCGGACCAGTTCTATGGCTTTGGGATTGGCTAGGTCTATCACCGGAATTGATTCTGAATTAATGGACGGGTAATCATTGGACTGGGACCAAGCGTGAGACTCGGGTAATCTGAGGACGCCCTTGAAATCGAGTGGAATGATATGATTGAGATGTGTTGGTAGGGTTTTGTAGGACTCTTGTATGGAATTCATTTTTGGGGTATGTTCTAATAATTTGTGTAACTCAGTGTTGGGTATTTATTTGCAAGAGAGAGAGAAATATATATCTTCTTAGTGTTGTACATTTTGTGTCACCAATTGTTATAATTGGCAAGCAGAGAATTTGTCACCACTAAAGGCGTGTCACAACAGATAATAAAATATTATACTAAGTTTATATTTTTAAATATTTATGAAAAAAGTTTAGACATTTAAATAATTTGATTTACATATTAGAGAGTAGACAGCGAAGTGGAAAAATGACCTGTTTCTCTCTATATATAATAAGCTAACCTAGAGATGTTCATGCAAATTGCAAGCTCGATTGATATGACAAGTCTGATGCAAATAATGAAGTTTAGTTGCTATGACGAGGCTAGCTAGCTCCAGACTAAATGAGAATTTTGTATGTTGCTTTTGGTGACAGAGTATCCAAAATTGTTTGCATCTACTGATTTTTGTTTTTGCTGCTCATTCCATAAGTTGACTACTTTGTTTGGTAATGAAGCTTGCTTGTCACGATGCATATATATATATACTATACGCGAGACAGTTTCACTTTCACCAAGGCCCCCTTACCTTGACCGCACTTCAGCTCTGGCACCAGGCTGGCTAGCTAGACGATAACACGCACAAACACGCATTGTTATGTGCTTCAGACCCACTTTTGATTACTGTACCATAGAGGATCTTGATCAGACTAGCTAACCACCATGCCTCCTTGTAAGCACACAACAAATCCATGGTGATGGGCTTACAGTACACTGTACAGTACTCCTTTTCTCTGTCGGCTTTCAGAATACGTAATTAGTGCGAATTCAATTAGACTTGAGAATTGTCGTCTGTGAGATGCCAAAAGTTAATTTGTCTTGAATTCTCTTTATTTAAGAATTAAGACCCTACCATAAAGCGATTACAACTAACAAAATATCAATAGAAGTCATCACAAAGTTAATTGCCACTGAGTTAAGCAAATAATTTAGGACAATTTTCAATTAATTACCTCTTGAAGTTTATCAATATCTCACATATAGATCATTTATGCTTTATAACTCCACCTATCTCTCATGAAGTTTTGATTTATGTAATAAATTTTCCATAACGTTAGGTACGAGAAAAACTTCATTGTATCCGTTGCACGGTGCAACGGGCGCATTCTATCGTTCATACACGTAATACATGTGTACGGGCAGAGCCATGATTTGAATTCATAGGGCATAGTGGATTTTTTTTGAAAATAATAATAATAATAATAAGAATAAGAAGAAGAAAAATAAATTTTGAAGGAAACAAATTACAGCATGATTAAATAAGGAAAATTTAACCTTTTTAAAAAGATAACTAAAGAAATTTAAAGAGTAAAAGAGAAAAAGAGAAAAAAATTTAAAATTTTTTGGAAACTAATAATATTAGGGGGCATAGTATACAAATTTCTATATATACATATGTAAAAAATAAAATAAAAATTATATATATATACGGGGTTCATAACTTCTAGACAAGGGGATTCATATGGTCCACTATGCCTATTCCGATTATGACGATTGCAACACAGTCATGTGTTGAACATTGTTCAGAAGCCCAAAAGAAGGTCAATTCACTCCCCTGTCATAGCATCTTGCCAACCTGGTGTAGACTTTTTTTCACTTTTTGAAAGAAATTCTTTCTTGATTTCCATTTCAAATTGAGAATGCTCATTAAATGAGCAATTCAATAAGAAAATTCAGATCGAATCGGTATTGATAAGCTAAGTAGGCAGACTAGGCCACTAGCACTTGATGAGCTTAGAGCGATGAAAGAGCATTCGTGGTAGAAGGCTAACAAGGAAAATTGAGAGGTCAGGGCAGGAGGGCATGTGCCACACTGGCTCCGCCCCTGTGCATAGCCATATGTATTATATAAACGGTCGAGATGCGTTGTATAGTGCAAGGGGTGCAATGAATTAAGTTTTTCTCGCACCTAGCAATGACAAACAGAATCTAATTTGATAAAAGATCAATTTTGCCCTTTTAATAATATCTAAATTGACAACAAACATTTCAGGAGCAAAACGGTAAAATAATATATTACCATTATCAAGTTAGACAACCGTCACTGATAAGGGGAGTAAGTAAGATTAGAAAGGTTCTATATGAGATATTGACAAATCTCAAGAAGGGTAAGTAAAATTTACCCATAAACTAAAGGACAATACTTGGGTCCTTCCATTAGAAGTTGAAGTTCATCCTCTAGGTGAGGTGGACCAATGAAATTAGAATACATATTCAAAAAACTTAAAAAGTAAAAAGATGGGTATTACCCATTTCTAACGGGCCAAACCCTGCCCTCTCTTTTCTCTCTTTCTCCCTCTCCACACAATTAGGGATGGCAATTTGCCCTGCCCTCGTGGGTACTCGCTGCGCACCATCTTTTTTTTAGCGATTTTGGGGGACCGTTTAACTTATTTGGGCAGGATAGTTTGATATATTAAAAACCTGCGCGGGTTCGATACGGGGGCAGGGGCGGGGAGGTCACCCCACCCCGCCCCCTTTAAATAAGTAAATTACTTAAGTACCCTTATTTTATTAGTATATATATTGAGACAGTTTGTTTTGCAACAAAATATAAAAATCTAGAACAAGTACCTTGCGCGACCATTTAGAATGTTTTTAATGTTAAATTTTATGTTATACTATTGTCTATTATTTTATTTTATTTTTTATGAATATTTTCAATAATTATATAATTTTAGTTGATAAAAAAAATTAAATGGAGGAGAATTTCTGGTCTTAAACAGGGCAGGGCGGGTACCCGCGGGGGTAAAGATGTTAAAAGGAAGCCGGGATGGGATGGAAAGTCCCCTCATTTTTGCGATTTTAGGCAGGGACTGAGGTGGAGTTTGTAAACGGTTGCGGGGCGGGGGAGGGTACACACGCCCAAACCCACCCCGTTGCCATCCCTACACACAATGTAATTTTCCATACCTAACTTCCATCTAAATCCCTAAAATTCCTCTTCCACCCTTACCACATTCTTATTCACAATGCTTCAGTTAACTCAATGCTGGGGCATAACCATATTAGTATATATTGCAATATTCATTCTTAAAGGTATTCATTAAAAAATTTGTAATGTCGTATCAAACATATATATATAAGAACGATTTTATATATGAAATCACATAATTAGTAAGGTAGAATTACTAAGTTGCAAAATTTATCTACATAGTAACATATATTGTTGATATCTAAGGCCAACATTGTTTGGCAAAAAAAAGAAAATATACACCTTCGATAACCTTTTCAGTCATTGATTGGAATAAAGGAATGCAAACATTTTAAAAAGCAGCGAATACTTCCTAGAGTTACGTATGCCGGTTCAATCACCGTCACAAATATTACAAATCTACTAAATGCTAGCAATTAATTACTTTTTATTATTGTCTAGTCATATCTAAACATTATAGTATTGTTACATTATCGTATCCATATAGACAGAGATGAGAAATTTGATTTATGAATTTCAACATCAATTTGATTTAAGGCCAACATTGTTTGGCAAAAACAAGAAAATATACACCTTCAATCATATTTTCAATCATTGATTGGAATAAAAGAATGCAAACATTTTAAAGAGCAGCAAGTACTTCTTAGAGTTACATATGCTGATTCAATTAATGTCACAAATATTATAAATCACTAAATGCTAGCAATTAATCACTTTTTATTATTATCTAGTCATATCTAAATATTATAGTATTGTTACATTACCGTATCTATACTAATAGAGATGAGAAATTTGATTTATGAATTTCAACATCAATCTTCTTTCTAAGTTTGAATTCTCACTTCGAGAAAGAAGATTGATAGTGCTGACAATCAAGCATGATACTAACTCAATGATATTAGCATAAAAAATTTTGGGTAAAAAACTAAATAAGAATGTGAGGAAAAAAAAAAAAAAGAAAAGAAAAACATACTAATCCAGGATGAAAACTCAAATCAATTGAGTATTGTTGGAAAAAAAAATTACAAATGTGCAAATATAAAATTTGAACATACTTGCTTTAAGAATATGAACAATCCTTGGAATATGAACAATCCTTGCTACAAGCATAGCATTGCAGATTAGCATTAGAGAAAAACGAAAATTAGGGTTTTGTGAATGGTGGTAGGGATGAAGAAACATGAAGTGTGGAGAAAGAGAATGCATGAGATGAAAAATGGATAATACCCATCTTTTTACATTTTAAAATTTTTTAAACATGTGTTCTAATTTTATTGGTCCACCTCACTTGAGAAGATAAACTTTAAGCTCTCATGGGAGAACCAAGTATTGTCCTAAACTAAATGGCACCTTCATAAACCCAACTTTCTGAAACCCTTACATAGTGCATCTAGCCCAGAACCAGACCCTATTGATTTTTTCCTAACAACCCCAAGGCCCAAGCCATGAAATACCATATCAAAGCCCACTAGAACACAACACATTCACCGTTGAAAGTCCTTGTTTTTTTTTTCTCTTGAAAGTCGGGGGTTTCAAAGAAAACTCGCAAACATCTGATAGGCGCTCGAAAATGGAGAGCTCTTTGGCTGCTTCAGAATCTCTTATAGAAACCCTAATTAGCAGAGGCTGGTCTTTCGGAGACGTCGATCAGGTTAAAGCCCTAATCGTCATTCAGTCCGCTTTACATGGCGAAACCCTTACCATTGATTTACTTGAATCAGAACTGGCGAATATGGATTTGCGATCCATTGGTGGAAAGTCTCTCCCCGACCCTTCTCTTCTCCGCAAGTCTTCTCATCTTCAAGGCCCCAAAGTTCTTCAGGCACTCTCCTACTCCCTCTTTCTATATACACACAATTTGTATGCGTATGTATATCTATATCTAAATTTTCTTTACTATCAATCTTAGTTAATTTCGTTACATCTCCTTAGAATTAGCCTCTCTCTACCCCGTTTCATGAATTTTCAATATACTTCGTTTGGTTGCTGAGAAAACTATGGGAAAAAAGAGAAACAATGATGTGTTTGAGTGATGCTAGTATGCTTTTTTTATTTTTTCTAATGTTATATGCTGTTTTTGTTTCTTCTATCTCACACAACACGCAAGCACAACTATGTATATGTTCTTGACTCAATTGATTTAATTCTCTGACTTCATACCATTGTAACCAAACAGAGCATTCTAAGACATTGATGTTCTTGAACTTAATTACTTTGTACTGATTCAATTCTCCTCATTCTCTCTCCTAAATAGATATCTTCTGCTAGAGACGTATCTCGGAGCAGTGTAGCGGATAGTTCAGGAAATTCAAATAATCAGCGCCTGTTAAGATTGGTTCTCACTGATGGGCACTCTGAGATAACTGCTATAGAGTTCTCACATATACCCTCCGTTCCTGATGATGTTGTTCCCGGCACTAAGGTGTTACCATTTCTACCATCTTGTTCTTTACAAATATTATTGAATTGCGCTTATTTGATAGGGTGCAATTTCACTATACTTGCTCTGTATATCCTGTATAGCAACTCATTTGTTTGTGTGTGTGGTGTATGTGTGTATGAAAGAGAGAGAGGCTTGTATCATTATAGAAAAAGTTCTGGAATACTGTGAAGTTTATAAGTTTATGTGAAAGTCTGTCATGCATATTATAATTCTGGAATAATTTAGTAAGCCCGCTATATCGTTGACTACATTTACCACCTCATACTATAAGTTTTTTACCCAAAAAATATGATATTAGTTTTGTGTTTCTCTTTGCTTAGATATGCCATATGAAATATTTCATAACTAAGTGTATCTTATTGTACACCCCATTTTAATAGTACGAACTTCTTCCTGAACCGTGGAATTTCAACATTCCTACTTTTGGTACAAGTGCTAGTTGTAACTTGTTAGAGATTTGGAGTACTTTCCAGTGCCTAACAACTTGCTAATTTGTTGATAAATGGGCGTGAAACATATGCTTCTGTGCATAAAATTCTGTTATTTATCATTCTTAACTTTCTGCATATTTTTAGTTTTATTTTTACCATGTAAGTTGGGTTATGCATTTGTTATTGGTTAATATAAACCTCATTTCATTTAATGGATCAGTTCCAGTCTGTATTTAACTCGTCTGTTTTGTTTTAGTGATTCACATTTCATTGGCATATTATATCCCTTAGTTCTCTTACAACTATGGTCGTAATTTCCTTTGCTTTGTCCTTATTTGCAGGTCCGTTTGGAAAATAAAGCTGTGATACATGGTGGTATTGTGTGTTTGAATCCTAAAGTAATAACTGTATTAGGAGGTGTTGTTGAGTCACTTTACGAAGAATGGCAGATGAACAAAAAATATTCAGGTTTCTCTCGCTCATCCTTGAGGCGATCACAGGAAAGTGACACCAGTGGTCCTCCACCATTCGAGAAGTTGAAAGTCAGGTTGCCTTCACTTCGATCTGCTCAGCAAGGCAGATTTTCTCGTCAGTGTTACAATCCTTCACCTTTTTTTTTTTTATTTTTATTTTTTTTTTTATCCTGGGGGTGGGGGATTGGTTTGACTGTTATTCTAATTGTTATATTATAATAGAAGGGCTCTTTCAAAACAGTGGAGGCATTAGTTATTCTAAGGATAGGGTATGTTTCTTCAGCCAAAATAATAATTCAAGATTTGATGAATTGCAGTGTATCCTGGGTCCACATCCAAAAGCTCTGGGCCTATTCCTGTTGAAAAAGGTGGAAATCATGAATTTAAGCAGATCAACATGCTTCAGAAAATTGATAATAGGATGGATGATGATGTGAAATTAGCTTCACATGCAGAAAGAAGTGAAGAAAAACCAAGTAGCTCTGAAGCAAGACTTAAAGAAGGTGTGACTTCTTTTCTTTTTATAGCACAGTGAATATTTGCCTCTCTTAGAATGGACTTCTTCTAATTATGTGTCAAGAATAGAGAATTCATTCATTACGAATGCTTAGTAAAACAAAATAAAAACCTTTGCAAATGCCGTGAAAAACAATAGGATTGATTTGACTTGCATGCCGTTCAGAGTTATCCCTTCTTTTTAGTGTATTTAAATTTAAAGTCTCTTCATAATCAACTATATGTCTTCACTGATATAATATCTATTCAACTTTTACAGTGGCTGAATCTCTCCCTGTTCAAAACCAAGCAGCTGCACAAAAACTCCTCCAGAAAATGAGTCAGCCAAATTGGGATAATCATCGTTCTAGAGGTCGAAAACATAGAGGGAAGGGGAGAGAGGAAGAATCACCGGTTTACACTCTAGATGAATGGGAAAGGAAGAAAGCTGGGCCAAACCCTTCAATGAGGGATGAGCTTCGCAATGTTAGCCAAGATGAGGCTCTCGCGAGGCAGCTTCAAAACCAATTGGATTTGGAAGATCTTCAAGTCAGCATTCTTTCACAATCTTTCATATTGAAAATGATGATGATGACGACAACGAGACAATGACAATATGAGATCTTTAAATAGTTCTCAGTAAAACTTAAACCGATTAAGTGAGGGTCCTTAAGAGATAGGCGTGGTAATAATTAGAAAAATCAAGTGTTGGTCCTTCCATTTCAAGCTTTTGGATAGAGTTCCTTTCTTCTTCGGTTTTTTTTTTTCTACTTCAAATGTTTGAGAAAACATAACCAGATGTTGAAAATTATCTTCGTAGTACCGGTTCACCTCTGTCTTGGTGGCATTGGGTCGTAACTTCCAACCCACAGGTGAATGTTTCAAGAATGGTAGAGAGAAGAAAGAAAAATAATAATTATCTTCATAGTTCTCAGTAAAATTGGGCTCCATTTGGTCCCACTCCCACTCATGAGCTATGCATGGTAATGATTAGGATGATCCAGTGAGGGTCCACCTATTTCACCCTTTTGGATCGAGGTCTCTTCCTATTTTCTTTCTTTTTCTTTTATGAAAAAGGTTTTACTCCAGATGGTGAAAAACTGAAAATTATATTATTGCAATGGTTTTGGGTGTTGAAAATTGAAAACTGCACCTGTAGATGACGCCTAGGAAACCAGTTTGGGTTTGAGGGTCAGATAATAGAGACTACTAGTCATCATCATAACCATCATCATTGTTGCACATGTTACATTTTTGGCAGTATTTGATATCATTAAATCCCAACTTGTTCAGGCACAAGGGGCTCCTCAGAAAGCGGGGGCAGAGGATATAAGAATGAGCATGTTCAATTTTGAAAGAGATGATGCGAAGGACCATGGTAGAATGGGATCCAGAGGGAGAGGAAGAGGAAGGGGTGGGGGAAGAGGGAGAGGGAGAGGGAGAGGGAGAGGGGGAGGTAGATTTGGTTGACTACTCTGCCTCCCTCTGTTCTATAAATTAGTGCACCTCTTCTTTGTGCATCAGGTAATTCTTTCTCTCTCTCTTTTTTCCTGATCCATATACATTTTCATAAGGGAAAGCAGTTTATTTTAAGCTTCAAAGTTGCAAGTCTATAAGAAATTTATCATTCTTATGCACTGTTGTATTGGTTGCTTGGACTCTACAGTTTTCTGAGGAAGGTTTGACTAACATCTATAAAGGAAAGTAGTTTTGTAGTCCTGATGTGCTTTGCCGTCTTCTGTATCAAAGGTGCAGATTTATGTTGATCTTACATTTAAGTAACATATATTATTTTGTTCATTGTCATGATACTTATAAAATGCTTTCATGACCTTTATTTTTTTGTGGGGGTGTGTGTTGTCCTACATTTTGTAACTCTCCTTTTCTTTCAAGTTTAATTTTCTTACTATTTATACCTTTTTTAATTCCTGAAGCAGTTTTCATATTATTATGCTGATTCTGTAACACAGTTATGCAATCAAATCTGTAGGGAATTGGTCGAGTAAAATCCAGAAACATGTTTATATGTACCGAAAAAAATCCTATGAATATGTTTATGTTTACGGTTTATTAATACTATTCTTATCCGTTACAATGCTTTGAATCTCTCACAATGGTAGTTTTGCGCACCAACAGCAAAAAAATTCCTTATGGCCCCATTTGTTGTTATGAAATCATTCTTGAATTTATTAATAATAATAATAAATAAACAGACGAGTAAATTCAAGTGGGATCTCAGGCAATAACGACATCATGACAACTTCATGTTAGGCATAAGACGGTTAAATTTTCAGTTAATATTTTTAACCAAAAAAAAAAATTACTATATCAGATTACATGATATGAATGAGGAAAAATATATTGTAGGTTTTTAGGTCAATAGACTTGACTCTTGAAGCTGGCTTGTTTAATTCTGTTAGCCTGTTCAGAGACAGATTCAAGTGAATTAGTAGATCCTGAAGTGTGATGACAAAAACTGCACCCATTTTGACCATTCCACTTTAGTATGACAAGAGTTCTAAAGATTAATGGGATAATGTAAACTTGATGCAGGGTCATTTCTTTTCAATCTTTTTCTTACTTGGTTTTGCGTAAAATTCATGTGAGCTTGCAGGTACTTGTGTCAGAATGTAATTTTACGATTTCTTTTGTGAAATGTCACAGGTGCTTTTGTCTACTAATTCATGATTTGTCGGAAGTGATGATGATCATGTCTAGTTCAGCTTGGCTTGGTTTGTGCCTTCAGATAACAAGTCTTTGCATTTTGTGAAGTTTTTTTGCCTGTGTATTGAATATTTTTCATCACCCATGTAGATGGTGTTTGTTCACATCATATTTTTTGCTTTTCTTTCAATATATCTTTATGTAGTTTCTAAGTTATATATTTATTATTATTATTTTTTATTTTTATTGTGATTGCATTTCCATGGACAGGACCTCAGCTTTACAATGTTATGTTATTTGATGGTAGTTCCCTTCTGTATCGATTACTAGAGGATGGAGGATGAGGTACATGGAAATTAACATGGAATGATAGTAATCTTTACAATGTTGTTTGATACCCCCCACACCCTTTGTTTTTTTTTTCCCGGGTGGGCGTAAGTTTTGGTTGGACGTTCCATTATAAAGAAAGGTTCAACTTTATTGTTCTGTTTTTAAAGAACCAATTTAACTGTTAAGGATGGATTTAGTATTATTATTATTATATGTAAGACCTGTAAGTTTTGATTCACAGATTAACTGAAATTTTCACTTCATTATTACCTTGAGGCGAGGAATATAGCTTAGATAAATACTGAATTTGAACTTGGACACATTAACAAAGATCAAATGCTAAAACCAAACTTGCTTAAAACTGGTTATTTTGAAGGATGGTTATGGGTTGGGTTGGTAGGTTTGCTTAAAAACCCGACAAAGTCGTTGAACACCGAAAGTTTCAAGACAATGGTGGAATTCAGGAGTGTCATACGGAATTATTCTCATCGACAGTAAAACAAAACACTCTCTCTCTCTATATATATATTAGTTTATCATGGGAAAAAAATCCAGTGTCTTCTCTCAAGGAAAGCTTATGAAATCCCTATGATACGGGGCATATGACGTGTCCAGTCCAAGTGTTGTATCCCCATTGGGGTTGATGTACATTCATGAAATTGATCATCAAACAAAGCCAGTTAATATGGTACGGTTTGTTAATGAACCCACAGAAGAAGTCATGATTCAGCCTTCATATAATTGTGATCAAAGATATTCAAGATTTCATTTACTCATCAATCACCAATTCAAAAAGGGACAATATCAAGATGGAGGAAAATTAGGAACATGACAGCAGAGATATATATATATATATATATATGATGATGATGGTGGTGGTGAGATATTCAAGGGCAGCAACAGCAGAGAACATCTAAGCAGCACTGACTAGTCTCATAGCAGCAGAAACAGCAACACGGTGCAAACAAGCTGCTCCTCGTCAAAGAAATAAAAACCAAAAATATATATATATATATATTAGTCATAACAGTATTCAATTTGAAGGGAATGAAAAAACAAATTGTAGTCCAATTAATTTAGAATATATTGATATATTGTTACCAAACCTATCACCAATAAGCCATAGAGTTGGCCATGAAAGGCTTAATCAGGGGTGGGTCGATTTAATCTGACCATCTTTCCATTTTTACTGTCATATACTACTAAAAATTTACGTGTGTACACATGTATAGAAGTTGAGAACAAGGATAAAGAGAGGTTAATTATTATTTATTATGAATTAAGAGAGGTTAATGATTATGAATTGATGAATATGATTACGAACCAAGCGTAAAGGAAGCCTTTTTCTTCTCGGCGTCTTCGGATAATAAAGATGAAAAAGAAAAGAGAAGACGTGACCATAAAAAGGTGAGTGGAGTGATGAGAGACAGACGGAGGAAGGTTGGAAGAAGGTTCCTCTCTTTTGGCTTCTTGTAAACTCGAGAGAGCTCACAAGTACTTGATGGAATAAGTTAAAAATAAAATTAAGTCGCAAATAAGGTTTTGCTTAGTTTGTAATTCGAAGAACAAAACTGAAAATAAAAAATTATTCAAAAAATTCTGATTAGTTCAGTTTTTTAAAAATTCAGTTATAAAAATGCCTATTTTCTGTTTTCTAAATTCTTGAGAATTATTTTCAGAGTTACAATCCAAGCAAACCCTAATTTCCTTAATTTTTACAATTTCATATTAACTTTTATTTTTGTACAAAACTCTCTTTATCTCTTATGCGAATCTAAATGTATGGGGATACTTCTAAAGTCATTCAAAGCAAAGGTGCAAAATTTAAGTCACACAACACTAGTGTGTGAGAGGCACCAGTTTAAAATAATATCCAAAATTGACATTTTTCCACCTAATTAAAGTATCTATAATATCATTTTTTATTATCAAGTAGACAAGTAATCTTATTACAAATGGTTTTCTACATCTTTGAACGAAGTTATTCTTTACTCATAACACATTGTCTAAAAGAAATCATCAGAGAACACAAACAGAGGCCTGGGTGCAAATGATTGTAACCAAACAGACTATTATCTTTTTTTTTAGAGAGAAAAAAAACACTCAAGACAGCAGCACCACAACACTCAAAGATAGCTTCATTTAATCACAGAGCAAAAACAATCCTACAAGCATACAAATACATCCATATTGAAGAATCAACTTCATATATAGCAATCATAGCCCCACCACATGAAGCTACTGCTCAAACAATTAGCAACTAACAGCACACGTGGCAGATTTTACCAGACCTGATATATTATTAGTATTAACTACAGGTTGAAAACCAGCAGCTGCTTCCAGGCGCTCCCATATCAACCTCCGCCTCTCGGCTGCCACACTCAACTTTGAATTATCCTCCTCAAATCTGCCTTGGCAAGTAATTACCAGGTCCTCGTCCATCTCACAGAACATCTTCCTCACGTTTTGTGTCAGGTTCAGAACCGCTTGGTTCCAGTGGTTTTGGGTGTTCCGCTCTAGAGCTGACAAGACGAGAGGCACAATCACCTGCCGATTATGCATGATAAGATTAAGGATGTGCTCGTTGTTCCATAAGAAGTGTGCCCGTTCAGCCACCTGAAATAAAGAACTTGATAATAAGCTTCCTTATCATACAAACTTCAAGCAAACCCACTGCCTGCCTAGTGTTAGAAATGACACAAATGTCTAAACAAACAAAAAGGTCATCTTTCTGATAAATATAACAGACAACACCACATGTTATATTTTGTTCTGGCATGTAGATGTCCCCAATCTTTCCAGGGGTGCAGCTCACAAAAGGTTGGATCTCTTCGGAGTGCATTGTCACAACTAGGGGAGACATGAGTGTGACGATAAGAGCACTGTGTGGGTGCTCAAAAACCAACTATTACATCTATGTTTGTCTATAAGGCTAAAAAGAAAATCTATGTTTGCCTGTATGGTCAGCATAATCAACAGCATCTGCACGTTATCCTGCACCATTGATCACAATTTGCATTGCATGACTCCGCGATATAAGGTGACTATACACCGAAAGATGTTAATAGTTTTAGTTAACTGTAGAAGATGAACCCCCAATTTGTAAATATATTTATATTTATATATATATATATATAGGGTAGTAATCTCTCACTCACCAGTGAGCAAGAAATTCATCTGCACCATGCATAGTGACCATTGGATGTAAAATAGGTAGTTGCGAAAAAAAAAACATTGCAATCACATACAACAGTCATCCACACATGGTGCGGATGAATTTCTTGCTCACTGGTGACCAAGAGATCATTTTTGTGTGTGTGTGTGTGTGTGTGTGTGTAAGTGTGTGTATGTATATATATGCATGATTGCATTGTGTGTAGGAAACTTATCCCTTGGAAGTCCAACAAACAAGATTACCATCCAATCATTTTATAGCAACCAAGCCACGTGAAAACCTCACTAAAGTAAAATAAAGTCAATTCCCTGTAGGAACAGCATAAAACAGATCAAATTTAAGATGAAAACAAAACTCAAGCAATTACAGGAAAAAATATGCTTAAAAACCAGTAACGGCAACTACGTCTGTCCAAAATATTCACATCATTACATCCCCAAGGCCCCAAGTGAGCGAAATTCAGAGAAAATTAGATTGGTAGAAGTTTAGAATACATTACAGACACCAGCAGCACACAAGTTAAGGTGAACTTTTATGCCTAAATTGTCACAAACCCAGAACAGGCTATAACACTCGCTGGATGTCATTGCTCGAAGTATGTAAAATGACATCAACAGTAAAATTCCCCACATGGTCACAAGAATAATGAAACAAACTTCAATCAGAATATTCATTTTTCTTTTCATTAAGTGATCAGACACGAGGGTTCCTCAAGGGACTTAACTGCATATATATGGAAATAAGGATATAGATTGAAACAAAAGTTGCAATGATTAGGCAACTTTAAATGGACAAAACGATACAATGAGCCCGGTAGATAAACTAAATAACAGAAACATGTGCCAGTCACCGAAGAGGAGCAATAATAGAACAAGAAAGGGAGAATAGCATGAAGATGCCAAAGGAATGTACAGAGAAGTTTTCAAAGAGCCATAGGTATCGTGAGAGACACCGGACACCAAGATCCAGGGCCGGCCCTGATATTCTCAAAATTTTGAGAAACCCTAGGCGAACTTTCAAATGGAAGGTCCTTTATACATAAGATTTCACACATGCAAAAAAATTCTTCATTAAAATGAGACGATAAACATATAAAATATATTAATCTTGAAAACACACAAAACAAAACCCGCTCTTGGTGTTTTATAAAGAGCACGATCTAATTTACATTAAAAAAAAAAAAATTAAAAGAAATATTCAACACAACTTAGTCACAAAAATCAAAATTCAACTTCATATCAAAGTAAATTTGATCATCTTGCATTTTGAGATGCAAAATTATCAATTAAAGTGCTACAATCAAGTTTCTTGAACATATCATCGACCGTAGGTAAGATTTGATTAACTTCAACTTTGAAAAGTTTATCTCAGCAGATGCAACTGTAACTAAGATAATCAATAATATATGCAATCCAAGAATTTGAGAAACAATAACCAAGCCTTTTTATAAAATCTAATACTTCAATTGTCTTTTTTTGTTTCTCTTTGTAAAGCTCCTCTTAAGACTTGTAACTCTAAAATTAATTTTGTTACATCAATATCAGAAACCATGCCATGATTTAAGAGATCTTCAAGATTATTTTGGAGAATGTGATAGTTGATTGTACCCATTAATTAAAATTTTGATTTTTTTTAAATAAAATAATTAAAAAAAAAAAATAGTTCCTAAGTTTAAATATAAAAAAGGGAGACGCACTCCACTTTTCTACGATTCCACTCCACTTCTCTTCTTTCTTTAAAGCAAGTGACAAAAAATTCATAAACTCATTTATATATCATTCCTTAATTTATAATACCATAACTGTGTTGTAAATTTTTTTTTCCCAAGAATTGCGTGTGAGATTGTAATAAAAGAGAGGAGAAGTGAAAGGAGAGGGATGTTGACGAGTCACTTTAATAACTTACTTTTTTATGTCACTTTGGTATCTATTATAATTCTCTATTTTTATTTTTTATTCTGAATTTGATTCTTAGGCAGTGGCTATGTGGCTATAGAATTTAAAATCTTCTAAATTGAATGAATGAAAAAAGATATAAAATCATTTCTCGTAGCTTTGATGTATAAACTACTACTTTTAGTATCATTTTAGTATATTAACAAATAAACTTTTTTCAAAATTTCATGAGACACTTTTTTTCTTTCTTTCTGAATTTAATACTGCTTCTAGTATCATTTTTCTAAGATTATAATCAGGTCAGTCAACTAATTCCATGAATTCTTAAAAATCACATGAAAGAAACAAAAATTAAAACTCAAAGCATACAACGCTAAAAGAAAAATAAAAGAAAAAATTACCATCATTATTAGTATCGAATGAGTGAATGGTCAGAGAGGCTAGAAGTAACTCAAAACGTTAATTGACGAGAGAGGCAGACGGAGACCAATAGATCTTTCCATAACTTAATGGGTAATTATGATATTTAAAAAAGAAAAAAAAATTACTTAATTATAAAATTAGAGATATAAGTGTCATTTTCTATAATATTGGAGTGCAATCATAGAAAAGTGCCTCCATATAAAAAATTAAATAATTTTCTTTTGAAGGGAGGAGATAAAAACAAATTATTGTTACCATACAAATTATTGTGTTACCTATAGAAATTGATATATTAGTGCGTGTGTTTATTGCCATATACTTTTTTTTAAGTTATTTATTGCCATAAATTTACATGATATATAGTGTGCATTGTCTTTTAATTATGGAAATTATGGTGCAGAAGTAGTGATATTTCAAATATATATTACTATATGTGCATTATGATCCTAAACTTGAGGCCCTTCGAAATTGGAGGCCCTAGGCGACCGCCTTGGTCGCCTTGCCCCAGGGCCGACCCTGCCAAGATCCATCGGTAAAGTCAAGACCAAATGGATTAGAGTAGGTATATCGATGGCATAAATGATTCTAGAGGGCATATTGAAAGAAGAATACAAGTCCAATGAAAGGGTAAATGTTATTTTCTGCCAAATAATAAGGATAAAGAAGCATAGGCAAATTTTTTTATACCACTTCAATATGGCTTTGTAAAGTTTAATATTCTAGCAGGATATACTATTTCCAGAAGGGATCCATCTTCATACTTATCTATCAATATCCAGTTAAAAAAACATTTTCAGGACTCATCTTTGTTAACGATATTCCAATGGTATCTTCCATTTGCCATTCCCCACCTACCATCCCAGCATGTGCATGTTTTGTATACACATTCAGGCACATGCAACGGTGCACTTGTGCAATAACCAGAGAATATACTTATGGGCCCCCATATTTGTTATGGGAGGCAATATAATAATATTTTCCTTGGGATAATCAGTTTTCAGAAAAAGTGGTCACTTCTCTTCAATGTAATACCTTTACTTCCTCTTTTCCAATTACTGCTATACTTCCGATAATGCCCAAGTAAAATCCACTCTAGCAATTTATCAAATGTTCCGATTTTCATCCTTTATACACATGTAACACAAGCCCTCAGAAACTTTTAAAATTCATACTGTGACACCAAATATTAGAATTAGTTAGTGAGATTAGACACATTTCTTAGGGAACATTCAGAAACTTGGAACCTGGGTAGATTCCTAAAAACACCTAAGAAAGTCAACTTGATCCCTATTAAAACTCACTGGGCTAGAAAAAGTCTTCATTAAAGAGTTTTATCCCAGCTTTCATCAATTTTGGAGAAGCAGCATGATCATATTATTTAGTTTATTTGTAAATATGAAAAGAAAGAGAGAAGAAAAAAGACAAATCAAAAATATGAAAAGATAACGGAGGGAAGAACAAAGAAAGTTGAAAGCTTTATGAATAAAAGCAACAAAATATTTAGAGAGAGAGAGAGAGAGAGACATATGCAATAAACAGAAATAATATCAATGTATGGCATCTCATGAAAATATTTGAACCAAAAATAATGATATTTCATTCAATTCAATTAGAAAAACAACAGCAACTACCAGAAAAATTACCTGGAAATGGGAGCTATTAAGGCAGCATGCTACACGCCGAAACAATGGAACCATGACCTTTTCGAACTCAGCCATGTTAATCATTTCCAAGAGCTCTTCCAACTCACTTAAGAACATCAACTCCTTTTGGCTATTTGTTACTGGCCAGTATTTCAACAGTCCCTTTATCACAGTACTGGCCAACTTTGGCTCCTTCTCTATGTACTGTACAATGCAATATGTTAATGGTTGATGATAAATACCCACTGATTTGGGTTTGTGTAGAGGAATCAGAGCTGTTGACAAAAACATCTTGTGCTCCTCTTTCAATGGTAAAGCAAACCCACTAATTACACTACCAAAAACCTCTAACAACTCGGCAATTCCATTATGCCGTTCAGTTTCAAAAACAAAATGATAGATAATATTGCTCACAGCCTTTCTTATAAAAGGCCTGTGCACCATGAACTTCCCATAAACCCGATGCAGAATGGTTTTCAAACAGTCTCTTTCCCTTGGGTCCTCCGAATCAAATAGATCAAGTAATCTTAATATAAACAAATGATCTACATATTTTTTTGCTAACTTTGCATCAAGAGAACTATAACTAACAAACCGTAGGAGTAGGTCATAAACTACTTGTAAATGTGACCAAGCTGGATCAAACATTGGTTCTTCAATCTCTGTTTCACCATGAGTACCATGAGAGCGAGACTTGGATGGAAAACCTCTAAACAGGTTAACTGCACACATTTTACACATTGCAGCAATTGCTGATTCATTAAATTTTGCAGACCCAGAAGCAACAAAATCAACGAGTTCAAGTAGAGTCTGACGTTTAAGATCTTTCTCTACAGAGTTATTATCTGGATCGCTGAAATCATACACCATACAGCATAGGTTCAACTTACTGACAAGAAGGCTTTGTTTCTCCGAATTTGAAACATCTTTGAAGGGTACATGGGGCTCCACCGCCTCCACTCCAGTTGTGATGCTCGCTGGGAAAATTGCCGAAGACATCCGTTTAACAACATTCAATCGGCTTGAAACGATAGTACAACCATTAGTAAATTGGATTCCAGTGCCCAAGTTGGGAGTATTATTGGCAGAATTGTTCCCAGCAGAATCTAATGAATCAGATTTTGATGACTTCCGAGGAAGCTTGGCCAGAATTTGCTTTAGCATGGTGATACTGCTCCACTGTGCAACAAAGAGAGAACCTATTTTAATATTAACAACCAAGTCAATACTCAATACATGAAAATTTACAAAAATAAAGATTAAAGAAAAAAACGGTTGCAGGGCGAGATATTGCAGCCTAGAACTTAATGAGTGTTCTAAATGCATTTATGGAGAAAGCGTATGCTCGTGACTTGTATCTTTAACTCACAGTTCAATACTTCAATGGGAGCAAAAATTCATCAATCGAGAACAACTTAATAAAAATAATCCAATGATTATCAGTCCACAAAAAATGAAACAGAAACAAAGAAAGGGATAAGTAAAAACAACATAAAACCAAAGCAAATTTCAGTGCAACATCTATATGGATAAATGTCTCACAAGAAGAAGCTATAGTTCAGGGTAAGACATGACATAAAAGACAACCACATCATTATGAAATCCATGAAAGATCATGATGGCATTAAGAGGATAAAAAGGAGAAAAACTTCCTTCCGCCCGTTGCACAGTGCAACGGGCGCATCCGGACCATCCGTGGCGTGTGTATTCATTACCATGCGTGTAAAACAAGCGCTACGGATGCGCCCGTTGCACGGTGCAACGGGCGCATCCGAACCGTCCGTGGCACGTGTATTCATTACCGCGCGCATAATACAAGCGCTACAGATGTGCCCGTTGCACGGTGCAACAGGCGCAAGGAAGTTTTTTTTTCGATAAAAAGAGAGGATGAACAATGTTAAAGTTGAGGTTCCATTTCCAAAATCAGATTCAGGAGAACAAAATCCCAAAATTCTATTATACAACTCCTAATACTGTCCTCCTTGCAACACAATGGTATCATAACTCCGTTCATTACAGTCTCATATTTTCCAAAGTACACGATCTTGACACTCCCCAAAATACACGATCTCTGCTTCTATGGTTATAAGATCAATTTTAAGCAAATCTGTTGAACATACTAGCTCATGTTACCAAATTAATTAGTAGTACAACTTATAATCTTGCAATTTCAAAGATCAACCGCATTCATATCCGGATTTTGTTCGGATAATGAAGAAAAAGCAATAGCATGAGTGTCTTGTATTATTACCGGAATCAATACCCACAAATTCTAGCACAAAGAACCTAGATCAAGCTTCTCTCTCTACATAATAGAAGAATTGGTGGACCAAACTATATAGATCTGGAACATGAATGCAAACAAGATACAAAATCGATGAGGATCTACTACTTAATACAACAAAAACACAGCGTACGAATCGAGTGAAGCAACTCAATACTGTTGCAAAAAAACATAAAAGCCACGAAAGTCAAAAACACTATAAAAAGCATAATTTTGAGTATTGTCCTAAAACAATCAATTAAACATAAATCTTGACATGTAAGTAGCAGGTGAGATTAGATGAATGCAGGTTTTGATAGCAATAATTTAAGAGAGAAGAGAGAGAGAGATGATAAAAATCTAGAGAGAGAAAGAGTACGAACCTGAGTCTCGCAGTGTGTGCGTTGTCGAAGTAGGGCTTTGATTGCTTAGCAAAATTGCAGGCAGAGATGAATGTATTGAGTGAAAGAGGAGCAATGGATGGAATGATATTTGCTTCAGATGGAAGGCGTGATGATGATGATGAAATTGGAGGAGCCCATTTTCGAAGGTCCTTTTTTGGGGTTTTGCTTTTTGTTTTGATTTGAAGTTGGGTTTGTTTATTATATATTACTGTGTTTTTTTTTTTTTTGAGGATCAACTATTTGAAAAACACGCAAATACAATCTCACCACACCACCATGTCCATGGTTGCTGCTGTGCTGCAGATGAATGAGTGAGTCCTCGATTGAAGCGCAGTTACGGGTGGCATTTTCTGAGAAAATGCAGGCATCCAATGGTCACACATACAATAATGGGTATAAAAAGATTAGGCAACAACCTGCTCTATTTTGGAGTATATTACTTTTTTTCATTAACTTTTTGTATGTGTCTGTAATACCATTTCATTTGACATGGTTTATTACTCCAAACGAGACCCACATGTCACACACCCTTAACTTCTTATCTACGACTGCTGTGCAGTTGTTTTGTTTTGTTTTGTGTTTTTGATTTTTGTTGTCAAAGAATAACCCTCCACAGCAAAGATAGGCTGCTGATACTATTTAGGCAAATTTTACATAGCGGAGCATTTGAAGTTGAATGCTCTTACCTCTCTTGAGACTATAAAAAGTTTATTATATTTTTATATAATATATTTTTATAATATAAAATATATTATAAAATCTAAAAAATTTAATTATTCTTTCTTATCACTTTCTCTCTCCTCTCCATCACAGTTACTCTCTTCTAAAAAAAATTTATAAATAAATAAAAAAATTAATGTAAGGGCAACTTGGTCATCTTATATATATATTTTTTATATATCTAAGGACAAAGTAATATGTCTTAAACGCTCCACTTGTGTGATATTTGTCCAAACTTCAGGGAAGATCAATGTAATTTACCTTGTATTTAACTCTCTTTAAGACCTTACAACAACAAAATTTGTGTATTAGATTAGGTTTTTTTTTTTTTTTTTTTAGGGAAAACTATACATAGATAGAGTTTAGAGTCCTAAATAACATTGATGATTTTTCACTTTGATTGAATTGAAAAAAATAATTACAAATGCATCAAAGACTATTGTTAATGTCCAAAATGCCCTCTAAGCTCCTATTCCAAAATACCAAAATATCATTTTTTTAATTATATAATTTTATAATTTAAAAATAGATAATTTAAATCTAGTTTAACTATCATTTAATTCAAACTGCTCAAGAATGTAATGCAAATCCCTTAGCATGTTAAGATTTTTGTTCAAAAAAGTAATAATAGCTCATCTTTTACTTCTATGGAGGAGATAAAATCCAAGGATTTTTCTTCTAGTAAAGGACGTCTAGAAGGTTGCCTCATAATCTCATTATAACCATCCATATATATACAAATCTATATTCCAACTTAGAATAGAATGGTTCTTGTCTAATAAAAAGATGCAAACTTTTGTAAATGGATGTCATTTGCCTAAATAGATCAGAGAATTCATCCAAAACTGCTACAACTATTATGGATTTTTTTCTAAGTATAAATTGATTCTTAAATAATTTCCTTTTATCTTACAAGTATTTACCATATTATGTAAATGGCATTCTTGATCATGCCTTATCTTAGACTCCATATCTTTAACTTATATTTATAGTAATTAACATATTTTATTTCAGCTTTGGTATATGTCAAACTTTTGGTTGTAATTAACACTTTCTAAATTTAGCACCTTAATATTAGTTATTAGTATTGAGCAAAGTTATAGTTTTCTATATTTTTTTTAGTATTTTGGAAATATATGATTATAAGAAGGTTATTTTAGGATTTTATAATAAGGGCTTAGAGGATATTTTGGGTCTTAATAATATTTTTTATGCATTTGTAATTATTTTATTTGATTCAATCAAATTGAAAAATAAACTTTAAAAATAGACTATTTTGTTATTTTGGATTCCTAACTCTACTTATGTGTAGTTTTTCCTTTTTGTCAAATAAGTAAAAATATAAATCGGATAAAAGTACATTTGTTAATTTTGAATAGTACAAATCTATTGTGCTTTCTATATATATATAAATTCAGAATATATATAAAAAAAATTGTTTTCACTTTTTTTTTTTTTATAATTGTATTTAAACAACTTTAGTAAGATTTCCTCATCAAAAAAAATAATAATAATAAATAAATAAAATAACAATATAAATACCAATTTATTTGTTTATATTTTTCAAGTAACTTTTTTAAAAAATAAATAAATTGCGCAACAAATTTAAATACCAAACATATTACTATTTCAAAATAAATTACAATACAATAAAAACACGATTTGTGCTTTCTATGAAATAAAAAACACATAGGAGAAGCTGTTGTCAAACGACCATAAAACTACACCATCAATCACTAGATAGACAAACAATTTCATTTTATATATAATGTTTTTATTTATTTAAATCTAAACTAGAAGTTTTAATCATCCGATAAGAAATAGATTTTGTTATAGCTCTTTTATTATTATGTCTTTTGAAAAAAACAATTGACATCATTGTAGGGATGATTATTACTTCCCACCTCGATTTGTCTGTTTATATATATTAAACTTTTAGAATATGATTAAGTACACGAATTTAATGCACTCCAAGTTTAAAGAAATATAAATATCCTTCGGTTAACGTTTCTTAATATTTTTTATTCTTTTAAAAACTGTTATCCATTTTCCATGTCCTTAATTTTGGGATTCTTAGAACAATTTTATGAACCAAACATATAGTAATCCTTTGTAAACATCCATTTTTCTATATGTAACTTAAGATTGATACAAAAAAAAAAAAAAAAAAAAAAAAGGGGTAAATTGCATAAGACAATTATACCGACACTTTAGATTTGAGATTTTAAAAAATTTAATACAAATTTTAAATTAAATTCATTCCAATTCTAAATTCATAACATCAATTCAGTGCTCTCAACATAACATTCGATTAATTGAAAACAAAATATTTCAAGAACTGATTTCTCATTATATTACAAAAAGTATAGTAAAAGTTTAGTATGATTGTAATTTTACATGAATTTAATTAAATGCAATTAACATGTGATAAGCCTCACTGGTTATTGTACTTTTTTCTGTTAAACCATTGTTAGTTATTTGCTGCCTAATCATGTGAGTTCTGATGTTGCGTTAGTGTGTGCCCATGTGCATGTATGTACCTGTTTATAAGATATATAGCATCAGAGAACACGGACTCTACATTAATATAATTCCCAATTGGCTTCTCTTAATTTTTTTGACAATACAACCAACTTATTGAGTTTACAAATGTCCAACACTTGACTTGTTAATAACTTTAAAGTGGCTTTAGGTTCTGACATGAATTAGATTTCGACTGGAGAGAGTATTGTCGAAAACCAAAATCAGATTGAAAAAAACAAACAAAATGAAGACTTAGATTTACTGTGGAACTTAAAAAAAAAAAAAAAAAAATCTCGAAGTTACTATGAACTTTAGTTCAGTATGGCTCATGAACATCAAAGAGTCCGGCATATAACATTATTGGTATAGTCAACCTATGAAAATCCACTATATTAGATTGTTGAAGGCAAAATTTTCAGGTAAGCATGACCATTTTTATTAGATGGTGATTTTTCATTGGTTGGTTATATTAAAGAAGTGAGGTCGGTTCACCCGATATAAGTTGAAGATCAATTATAGGAGAAAATTTTAATTATACCGATTATAGTGATGACATGGTATCACCAATTTATTAAATACTGACATATAGTAATTATGACACTTTTACTTAAATATTGACACGTAGTAATTAGGTGTAATAAGAAAAAACTTTCCCCACATCGAATTTGAATGGAAAAGTGAATAGTTATAAATGGGTGGGTATACAACACTACCCAATAATTTAAGATTTTGGGTAAATGATTAAGTGTCCACCCGTTACAATTGGTATTAGAGTTAGATCCAACGTCCAGGTCTACACCCCGAGCAGACAGAGTGACCCAAGCCCCAACGAGAACAAGTTCAAATAGTTTGCCAATCTCATTTACGGAGAATCTGTTGAGACATTACTAGCGAAGCCTTTACTCGTGAAATAATAGTAGCATTTTATGCATTTTTTTTATAAAAAGAAAGAAAAGGAAAACGACAATTTCACATTTTACTCTTACACTACTTTTCAAAGGGGTATTTTATCTATTTTATTTAATTCGACTTTTCTATTTCATTTGAACTGAAACGACCCCATATTGCCTCTAAAATTCGCAACAAATACTAGGTAGTCATCATGAAGAATAATACTTTTTTGACTCATTATTTTGCTTGGGAAAGGCAAAACATTGTGTTCCACAGACGTTAAATAGTTCCAATAAAGCTGATGAACAAAGTTAAAATTCAGAACAGCATTTACAGACCTCAAAACATTTAGTCTCTATACAAATTTAATCAAGCTTCAGCAATCACTACTTTACTCAAATCCACTGAGTTAAATCAAATTCAAGCAATCCAGTATTTGATTCCATATCATGGTATCAAAAAATGACATGCACCGCCAAATGAGGACACATAGAAGGAATATATATATATATATATATATATATATATATATATATATGGCAAGTTTAGAAATCATTTACCACAATACATTGTGAGGATAGGGAACAGGGAACATTTTTTAACACAACACATATTTCCTCAGAGAACATATCTCATCGTAATAAATAAAGAATTGCCACATAAAAGGTTAAAATCATCGAGTTGCCAAGTTAAAGAAGGCGATTGAGAGAGAGAATACAGCAAAGAGCTACTTACAATGGGTATATATGTAAGAAAAATATAAATAAAGAAGAAATATAGATAAGGAACATGTATAAAGAAGAAACATATATAGAATCAATAACACAAGTAGGATTCTACACGGCAACAGCTACTTCCACGCCATCTAAGAGTGCGAACACACAGGGTTTTCTGCTGGAAGCTGAGCAATGCTCCCAAGACTGTTGGCAAATTTTGGCCTCCACTCAGTCCTTGCCTTCACAATTTCGCCGCCACCCTCAAGCCGAAGCAAATGGTGGCACTCAGCGTAACCGGGATTAAGCATATCACTGACAACAGTGCTTGGAATAGCAGTAAGAGACTGCAATACACTGTTCCTTCCACACTCCTTCCTGTATTCCAAAGTCATCCCAGAAAGTTCATGGCTCTCCAAGATTGACAGTGGCACACTCTGTAACAACCAGCATTGTCTTACCAATAAGATGGCATATAATATTCAAAATTACTGACAAGATACTTGAAATGTCAATAAGAAAATGTTAGGCAATCTAGATGCATAATATCCAAACATCCGTCAATTCATTCTTCAGAGTACTATAACAAAACAAGCACAGAAGTCGCTGGGCATTCATTGGCAGCCATGCCACCAATTAGACCCCCTAAATCGCCACTTTATGATATTAAAAAAGAACAAAGCATGTGTTCACTAAATGTGTTAACATAGTGACAACATAATCTTTTGTTGTCCATGAACAAGGAACCACGTGATAAAAGCACAAATTATACTGCAAAACCAACACCTCTGTTTCTATTCAATTTTCCCTCCTATTTCCCTCATATTCCCAGCATTTGTCTTATCAGGTGTATGTTTTTCTATTTTCCCTCAACTAGAATGGTGGTACCACACTAGAAGATCCTGAAACAATGTTCAAACCTTGAAAACGTTAAAGAGGGAAGATCGTGGGTTCGAACACAAAATCATATCCACAATGCATACAAGCAATATTTGGGCAAGCAGCCAGAGTAACTTGCCATTAAATTGAGCAGATAAATACTACTTCTGAATAAATGTGTTGTGATGTTGCTATTAACACGTTAACAGTTCGGAGAGGTAACAACCTTACTACACATCAAACTATCAAACCACCATATATTTTGATGTCTCAGTAATTTATGGGAAGGTTTAGATGTCACTTTGTCACTCCATATCAAAGAACCATATCTTATGATGCCTCAATACTTTCTAAGTTTTTTCCCCCCTTTTATAGTTCTTCTACAAAATCAACTGTTTCTAATGAACAAGCAAATGACCAGTACAATTAGTCAAACAGGATATTTAATGGTTTGGATCAGTTGATAGGTTCAAGAACAAACCAAACTGGAAAGAAAGCTATTCAGGTTGAAGTAAGATGCGAGAAAAGTTCAGACCTGAGTGGTTGCAGGTCAGTAAATCAATGGAAAGAGAAACCATATAAAAAGAAAATTTACCTCAAGGATCCAACCTATGTATTTCACATTGTTAACATGCTGGTTGACATCTAAATCACTCCATTTTGGCTGCACAAAAACAAAATCGTAATAAGAATGCAAAACATGAGCAGTAAGACAGTCACGACATATAAAAGGTAAATAACCTTTGTAACTGAACAGCCATTGACTTACAGTCAAACCAGTACGAATATGATCCGCTGTGCGGTCATCAAGTTTTGATAATTTTCTGTTATCCTCTTCCACAACAGGAGGTGAATCCACAAAATAAGGCCCTATTTCTTCTCGGACTTCATCTGGCATTTTAGATAACCTCCGTGTCTCTTTATTCATCATCACCCATACACTGCAGATTATTTATTCATGTATCCAACAAAAAATAATTACGACCAATAACAAATCATTCAAGTTCATCTTTGGAACACATTGCTACATGCCAAAATTTCATGGCTTACCGTGTCCCCACGCAAACCACATAACTATAGAAAAACAAACATTCATACAATTGTACATGTTCTACATGGTAAATGGCTCGTGTTTCTATAGCCACTAGCTGTAAATACATCCAAGTAAAAATATATAAATTTGTATGTTAAATAGGCAAGACTAATATACACACAACTTTAAAAGAACTGCTGTCAGTTTTATCAATGTTCACACACACTCTAACCTGGAAGCTCTTGTTAAAACGTCTCCTGTTTTCCAGTCACGAACAAGCCAATCACGCCGCATACCATTCTTTCCAGATGCAGCTACCCAAGAGTCTACTTGAACAACATCACCCCTACAAGAAATAAATCGGCTTAAAATCACTTAACAGTCATTTTCCAGAACAATTTCAAGAGAAATAACTTCTACAGCTTCCGGGACACGCTGTTCCATAAAGTGAGTACACTATGTCATTAGCTAAAAATAGACTTAATCTAGAATCTTAATATTAAAAAGTAATATGATATGAAGAACCAACTCAGAAACAATGTTAACTTTGAGATGTGAATCATGTAATCATCATCACGTAACAATAAAGAACTAACAGTTGCAGATGTTGTTTGTACCTATGAATGGGTTGCTGGAATGTCAATAGAAATTTAATAAGTTCAATGTTCAGTAAAATCCAGGCCAAAAGTGTACTCCTTTCTCATAGCTCCAAAATGATTTGATATGGTTCAATTAATATCTCTGTTACATGGACTCTTCTATTTCCTTTCATGTATCCGGGTTGACACAACACAATATTGATATGGGTATATGATATGTGTCCTACACAAACCATGATTTAAAAATTAAAAAATAAAAACTTACTTATCAAAAAAAAAAAAAAATTTAAAACTTAAAAAAAAAAAAACCTCAAATTAAATAGCAAAATGAGTTTTCTGTCTATGAGATATAAGGACACCCTTTTCTTTTATCATTTCCCATTTAATTTGATTAATAATTGAGCATACTCTCATAAAACATTACACTATAATAATCATATAAATGTATTTAAATGCATATTACGTATCTACGTACTCATATCCAATTTTGAACGCATATCCCAGCACCTAAGATTTGGGATTCAAGTGGGTCTGGCACTTAGACACATACCAGCACCCAACACACTTAACCAAGTCCAAGTAACCTAGACTAATATCGTTCATAACATTTTTTTTCCTTAAGATTGTTCGGAACTTCTTTTGATTAAAAAAATAATAAAATTATTTGAGAAGAGCATCATGTTGGCAAAACCCAAGTACACAAGAACAAGAAGTATACACGAAAACTCAAGCAATTACAAAATAAGTGAGTAACTAAAAGAATTACTTTGAAATTCCCATAAATCTAAAAGAGTATTGAGCTGGGTTGCCTAGCTACAACAACTAAGAAATCCAGTGTTATCCTACGAGTCTACATCATCTACCCGTCATAAGAAAAATATTTCCTTCCCTCGTATAGAAACCTTGAGATTTTAATAAGCACCATTTGAGTTTTATAATGATAAAAATGGTTATGTCACCATAAAGCATAACCAAATTGTATGATTATCTTCTGCACAAAACACAGTTGACTGATGTCTACACCGATATGTTGTGAGTTGTGCCATGTAGAAGTGGAGTGGAAGTTTATCTCAATAGGAAGACCTAGAGGGGGGGTGAATAGGTCTAATTTGCTTGTTTGATTGATTTTTATAATAGTTTTAATAGGAATAAATTTAGCATAGATGATCAATCAACCAATACACAAACAAAAAATAAATAAATATATATCAAAAGGTAAAGACTAAAGAGAGACACTAGGATTTTTACGTGGAAAACCTTAGCGAGGAAACATTATGGAGACTAGCTGTCTCGGGTGAAACAATCCAACATACTGAGAAAGTGTTCAACGAGTACCAGTACTCTCACAACTGCTCTCCACGAGTTGCTAATTCCAGTGCCTTAAGAATCACTGCCGTTGCTTTACCTCCGACCATTAATGCCCTCCAATTCTAGTGTCCTCAGAACTAGGAAGCACGGACACGCCTAAAATGGAAAAGAATCCATGTCGGACACTGACACTCGCCTACATGTCGAACACGCCAAAAAAACGTGTTTGTTTATTTTTATTTTTTGGACACAACGTGGACACGCATCTGACATGCCATGGATACGTGTCCGACACACGCGTCGCAATCTTGGGATTTTTTTTTTTCCTTTTAAGGTATTCATTTTTTTTTTTTTTTTTTTAAGTAAGAATTGTATTAAAAAAGGGCTCAAAAGGGGAGCACATCCCAAAGGAACAACAAAAAGCAAAAACCACTAAGCCTTCAAAGAGGCCAAAAAATCAACAATGTCTTCAATAAACCTATAATCTCTACCCGAAACCCAAAAAAAAAGAGTGGAAGCAATGAAGAATTTCAGAACATAAATAGGAGACTCTTTTCCCTCAAAGTATCTCATGTTTTTCTCAAGCCAGATGCACCACCAAATACAAAGAGGTGTAGCCCTCCAAGCCTCTCGAATGTGAGCCCCCACAGAACAGCCTTTCCAAGCCTCAATCAAACCTCTAGAAGAGCCAGGCATGACCCACAGAAAACCAAACAGGCCAAGCATCAAATTCCAACAATCCTTGGCCAAAGGACAATGCAAAAGAAGAAGGTCCACTGACTCTTCATCCCGACGGCACATATAACACCGATTAACCACCACCTAATTCCTTCTTCTTAAATTATCCTGAGTCAAAATCTTTCACAAAATAGAGGTCCAAGCAAAGAAGGCCACCTTAAGAGGAGCCTTAGAACGCCAAACTGCCCTCTACGAGAAAGGACCTTCAGGCTCTTGAGTGAGACACCTGAAGAAAGACCGCACATTAAAGTGACCCTGAGCATTGGGAGCCCAAATCCAAATATCAGAATCTCCGACCATAACACCCTGCCGATACAAAACCTCCAGAAGACGAATGGCATCGTCAACTTCCCAGTCCTGAAACAAACGCCTGAATCGAACATCCCAAACCAATCTCCCATTATCAAGATGATAACAGTTGATCACCCTGGCCTGCCTATCCGAAGCAATCCTGAACAATCGAGGGAAAGCAAGAGCAAGAGGGATGTCCCCTCACCAGACATCCTCCCAAAAACTAATCCCCCTACCATCCCTGAGACGAAACCGAACATGATTGGAAAAATCAACCCAGCCCTGTTGAATAAACTTCCAAACCCCCACACCCCTAGGACCACGCACCTCAAGAGAGCACCACCCTCCTCTACTCTCCCCAAATCTGCTCACCACGACCCTCCTCCAAAGTCAATGCCTCTCCACCCCAAACCTCCATAACCGTTTCCCAATGAGAGCTTTATTGAAAGGCACCAATCTTCTAAGCCCCAACCATCCATTCCGAATCGGCCTACAAACATGCTCCCAACGAACCAAGTGAAACTCAAATTCCTCCCTTTTCCCTCCCCACAAAAAATTGCGCTGCAAACGCTCAATCCTCTCCCCTACCGAGGAGGGAATCTGGAAAAGAAAGATAAAATAGGTGAGAAGACAAGAAAGGGTACTCTTGATCAGAGTCACCCGCCCCCCTTTGGAAAGATACTGCTTCTTCCACCCTGCCAACCGCCTCTCAAACCTATCCACAACTGGATCCCAAACCCCCACACATCTCGAAGGAGCACCGAGGGGCAACCCTAGATAAGAAATGGGAAAAGAGCCTGTACGACAACCAAGAATGCTCGCAAGCATCCTGATGTCAGGGACCTCACCGACTGGAACCAAAACACTCTTTCCAACATTCACCTTAAGGCCGAACACAACTTGGAACCAGATCAGAACACATTTCAGATATCTGAGCTGGGACACATCTGCATATCACAGAACCAAAGTATCATGTGCAAACATCAGGTGCAAAATCTCCAACTGACTGGCAACATCCCTGCCCACCCGGAAACCCCTCAGAAAACCCAGCTCCAGAGCTCTCCTCATCAACCTGCTGAGGGCTTCCATTACAAAGAGGAACAAAAAAGGGGAAAGCGGATCTCCCTGCCTTAACCCCCTCGAGCTAGAGAAAAAATCCGACGGAGCTCCATTCACAAGCACAGAGAAACGAGCACTGGAAATACAAAAATGAATCCATTTCCTCCATCGCACTCCAAACCCCATCCTCTCCATCAGATAAAGAAGGAAGCTCCAACTTACATGGTCGTATGCCTTCACGATGTCCAACTTACACAGAACGCTTGGAACCCACTGTGCAATCTAGAATCAACGCATTCACTAGCAATAAAAACTGAGTCCAGAATCTGACGACCTCTCACAAAGGCATTCTGAGAGTCAGAAATGACTCCATCCAATACCTTCCTCCATCCATTAGCAAGAACTTTGGCAATCAACTTATAAATGCACCCCACCAAACTAATAGAGCGAAAATCCCTAACATCCAGAGCCCCCCCTTTTTTGGGAATGAGGGCGATGAAAGTGGTATTCAAGCTTTTCTCAAAAGAGCCCCAAGTGTGGAAAGTATAAAAAATGCCCATCACTTCCCTTTTGACCACCTCCCGGCAGTCTAAAAGAAATCTCATAGTAAACCCATCCGGACCTGGGGCTTTATCCCCGTTACAGCTCTTCAAAGCAACCAGCAGTTCCTCTTCAGAAAAAAGCGCCTCCAAACCAGAGCCTTCCTCACTAGAAATATAATCAAACTGGAGCCGCTCAAGCAAAGGTCTCCACCCTAGATAGTTATTTTTTTCCTTAAACAACAAAATTCTTTTTTGCGTCTCTTTTTTCCTTTTCCCTCTTGTTTTCATGAACTTTCTCTCTTCTATGTATTCTTACCTTTATTTTTAACTAAGTCCTAATTCTGTTTCTAACAAAACCCTAATCCTCTTTGTTTTTCTCTTTCTTAATCCTCTTTCTATCTTTCTTTCTTTTTTCCCAACAAAACACAATTTTTTTCATTATTAGGTTGATAAAATATATTATACATTTATTATTCGCCCCCTCGTATCCGTATCCTAATTTTTTAGAATTTGCCGTGTCGCCGTGTTCGTGTGTATTTGTGTCCCGCATTTGTTTCCGACGTTCCGTTCTTCTTAGCCTCAGAATTACCAGAAACACTGATCCACGTCAATACAATCATCGTACGATGATCCGCTTCTCCAATTGATCGATCGCCCTATCTTACACAAGTGGTGCAAAGATTCTAATGAAGCCTACTGCTCTAATCAACCAAATAACATCCTAGATAGGCCCACAATACCATTGACTAGACCCCACGCTAAACACTTATGTGATTGTGGGTGTTCAAATCAAAAGAAAGAAAACTCAGAAAAACCGGTCCACCTTTGTCCTATTGGGTTTGGGTCTAAAATTCCATCCTCAAGGGCTAGGGTTCGAGGCTGGTACAAGGGAAGAAAAAAAAGTCAAAAAAATCCTTCTCAATTTTGATTATATATAAGCTAGAGTCCTTAAAAGTTTTTAAAATAATCATGCATAAACATTAAAGGACGTCTCTTAAGTTTGGACTGAAGATGGAAATTTTCAGGAATAAATTTGTACTCACTTACCTGGCTTAAGTGATGTTTTATGCCAATAGATAGAATCATAGATAATAAGCTCATGATGATCAACTAATCTTCAGCTTTCGAAACCGATATTTAAATAAATAAAAATCACAAACTCGATTAAACAAGTTTTGAATTAAGAACACCCCCCAGCCCCAATTTTATTCTATTTTAAGTAGTGTTTTTCCCAACTAAAAACCGATACAATTTGAATTAAATTAATATGCTTGTGCTCTTGTCAGTTTCAAACTCCCAGACAATTTCAGTAATTTTTGCATAAATACCAAATTGATCAGAAATTTTAGTTACAAATTCAGATGTCCATATTATTTTTCAATCATTGTAAGAAACACTGGAACAAAACATTTCAGGTTCATTCTGCATCTGACTTGTACAAGTATCCACTTTCTACTTTGTCATCTTAGTGGAAGGTCAAAATAGACACAACTTGTGAAAATCAAGAACATCTATTCCGATTTCAACTTCCATGTGTGCAATTTCAGGTCATATGAGTGATCTTTGCACTGATCACCCATGTCTCACTCCCTTACAGCTAATGAAGTAAGCTTCACATCAACAATAACCATCCTAGGTCGTCTCCCGAAGAGAATCTCAATGGTAGGGATGCAACAGACTCTACTAGACCACAAAATTCATGAATCCCCAATCCATAGTAAACCATATTAATACATGTAACTTGATTCAATATAAAAAGTAGCAACCTATCACTAGTTCACTACCATGAATTTCTAGACAATGAAAGCATTAAAGCCAGTAAAAAGATAGTATTATCACGTCATAAAAGGGTGAAACTACAAAAAAAAAATAAAAAAATCTCTGTGCCTTACCAAGTAGGATAGCGATCTACCACAATCTGCATTTTGGTGACCACCCATATCAGGTTTTTTTTGCACATCTCTGGAGTTGAACCAAAGCCATCAACCATAAGTCCCGCACTCTTTACATGGTTAAGGGCTGTTTCCTGTGGAACACTCAAGTTTGTTAAGTAGTAAAAATGTTTTACATTCCAATGAGAAAATGACAAAAAAAACAGGTATGTTTACCGTGCATTTAAACTTTAAAATTTGTAATTTGTTCTACATTGGATACATAATGTAATTATTATCTCCAAATTAAAAAATGAAAATGAAATTTTGATCATACCTGCAAATGATTCATCAATGTCTCTATAGATGCAGTCCGATCAGCCCCTATCTCATACGATCTTATAGAGAAATTTTGACGGAAAACAAGGCCATCCTGAACAATTCTCCCAAAACCAAACGGATCAATGAGCATGTCAGGCCGCTTTGGCTTCCAGTCAAGCATTGTCCATTGCTTCTCTGCTGCCAAGAAAATCGTCGTGATAGCAGCGAGGAGCATGCTCCAATCTGGCAATTGGTTAATAAAAGTCCTCGGGGGAGGTGATGTCGTCGCATCCGCACTCTTGAGACCTTCCATTACACCAACTCTGGTACCATTTACTTTGTGTGGGGTTTGTGCATTGACCTTAACCTGCAAACTCCCAGAAGAAGCAGGTTTTGACTTAATCCCTCGTGCATCCACATTCGCATGCACACCTCCAAGCTTGCCAGATGTCTTTGCACCAGAGTCGGGTGGTAGAGAAGAAACTGGGAAGAATGCAGAAGCAGCAGCTGTGGCAACCATCATGAAAATATCCAACCTGTGGAATCAGTCAAGACAGAACAAAGATTAAAGCACGGTTTAGGTTATTCCTATTACCAGCACAATGAACTAATAAATGTGTTTTACAAATAGTGGTATATTCACTAAAATACATCAAATTGACATATTGTTTCTGCATGGCACATAATTGTAATTGCTAGAAGAGAATACTTTGGACTTGTAATTTAAGCATGACAGTGTGAAAGCATTTTCACTTCCCTCAACCCATTATTCTGTCCACAAGAAAACCCCAAGAAGGGCTCATATATGCCAACAACAGTTGGTTAAAAATATAAACTTTATTTCTAAATTTTTTCTTAAAAAAAAATATATCAGAAGTAACAAGTAAATACTGCTTGGTTAAATCAATGCACTATTTGATTGACAAGAAAAATGTATGAAACTAACATGCTTTTTAGAAATTTATATGGTAGTTTTTCAAGTATGAAATAACATAGCTATTAAAATTTTAAATCGTATGTTCACACATATGAGACCTTAAACAAAAGACTTCACTGAACACAGCCTATTACAATTCAAAGAGACAATTTTTCTTCCTTTTCCTCAATTCTTTTTGGCAAACAAATTAAGGGTTAGCATAAATATTGAATAATATTTTTTCAGAAAAAAAAATACAGAGATAAAAGTGAAAGATTTTAGCAAATTTAAAGTAAAGACGCCATAAAGTTTATTTTTTTTCAAAAAAAATTAAAAAAAATGAATGAATGAATCTTAAAAGGACAATTGTTTGGGAAGTATTAAAAGTGTTGGTAAGAGTTCAGACTTCAGACAATGCCAAAGTTAGGTCTGCACACAGTACACTCTGGGTTAACAGGAATATAACAGCCTAAAATAAATAAATCTGAAAATCAAGCATATATCTCAGCAACAAAACATACTTATCAACAACAAAACATCATGAAACGAACAAGAACAACAGAGAACAAAACACAAAAAACACAGAAATTGTTCATACACACCAATTCAAACATGCAACAAAAGTAAATCAGATCTAAGCATTCAACTACAAAAGCCAAATGACTGGTCATCGCATCACATTTCAGTTCAGAAACAAATCCCAAACATTCTTCCCATTTTACCCCTCCCATCCACCGCAAATTACAACAAATCCGGAGAGATCACATATAAAAAAATGCACAATGAAAGCTCATTTATTTGAATCATATAACTCAGATCAGACTACATCAAATTATAATATTGAAAAAATAAATAAACAAAAAATCCAAACCTTTATCAGCTCAGAAGATTCCAGAGAAACAAGAAAAACATAAAATATGTATCAGAGAGTCTTCATTTTTTGATCAGCACAACCCTTTTCGCTGCTTCTGGTAATTTCTAGTTCTAGGGTTTGCGATTCTTTCTCTGTTTTATTTTATTGTGTACCGTATCACTTTTTTAAGCTGAAATTTTGAAGAGAGAGAGAAAGTAGAGAGAGATTGGGGCCTACGGTTTTGAGGTGGTATGGATTCCGTGTTCAGCGACGCATTTTATAGTATCCGCCTGGCCTCCCGCCTCTCATTTCAAGTTTCAATTAATTTGTAATTATTCATATTTATTTTACTTAAATACCCTTCTTTTGTTCACATTTGACTCCCTGTGTGTCATGCGAATTAATTGCAAAAAATATAATTTTAAAATATAGTTCCGCGTTTTTATTTTTTATTATTTTATTATTTTTTATTATTATTTTTTTTTTCACACCAAAGCATTGTTGTCGGCTCTCTTCTTTTGACGAGAGTTAAGACATGAAACGACTTGAGAGTTAGAGTTTCTCGTGTGTGTGTATATATATATATATTTTATTTATTTTAGTAATATATCATAATATGTAAAGATAATTTAATAAATTTATAATATATTCAGGACAGAGCCGACAACCCTCCCCGAAACCATCCCAAAATTTATGGAATTTTTCAAAGTAGACCTGATCCGGTCCTCATTTATATAATTGGGGCTCCCAAAATTTTCTAAAATTACTATTACTACTACTAATTTACATATATTAATAATAATTTTATATATGAAAAGTATACTTGGCCCCTCAAAAATTTATCGAGGGTAAATATATATAATTTTCAATAGTGATCTTGTATAAAAAATTTGATATTGATCTTCCAATTTTTTCTAAAATTTTCATTTATAGTTATCTATCTATGGTAATTGAAGGTGCTTTTATAGTAATTGAAGGTGATTTGCCGAGGAAATACTTTTGTTCCTTTCAAAGTCTTTAACTAATGGCTTTTAAATTTTTAAATCTAATAAAAAAAGAAGTGAGGGAAGAAGCCCTTCCTTCCTTCCTACTGAATATAGCATAAAAAAAATATGCTCTAAAAAAAAATATATGTACATTAAAAATTTAAAAAAAAAAAATTTTGTTACAATTATTTTCTTTTATTTTTAAATTTTAATTTTATATTACTACTTGGGCCCCAAACGAAAGTTTCGGGCTCCGCCTGACTGTTTTGTTGAAAAAAATTTCGGTGAGAGTTGCGCGATTCTAAATTAAAATATACTTATTTTACTTTTAGTTAAAATTGTTGTCAACATCAAACTCTGTAAGAATGATTTGACTAATCCTCTAACTACGTATAAATGGATAAGATAAATCTAGACTATCTACGATTGTAGGCTTTCCATCCACTTAAGTTAAAAAAATTAATGAGATGTACAGTATCTAGTTACGTAGTAGTTTGTAAGAGCATCTCCGTTAAAATATTAAAATATATATATATATATTTTTGTATAAAATATACACTATCAAATATAATGTGTAAAATTATTATTTATTTTACACAACATTTTTATACCGCAACATCAACATATTAACATGTTTCCGTCACTTTATTAACATACTAGCAATATATTATCACTTTATTAATGTGTAAAATTGTTATTTATTTTACACAACGTTTTTATACCGCCACATCAACATATTAACATATTTCTTTTTTTCTTCCTTTTTTCATTCCATTAACAGATTAATTTTATAATAAGTAGGTTTATAAAAATTATGTGGAGTCAAAATATAAAATGAATTGGTTGTTATTGAGGGATATATTTTTACACAAAAGGTATAAAATAACCGTTAAAACTAAAAATAAATAATTCAAATTTTTTGTAAATCTATTATGACACATCATATTTACACAAAAATATATACACAACAATTAGAGATGCTCCAAGTATTGTATGACTTTTATACAAGGTATATTTATAAATCAAGAATTATATTTTAGTAGTTTTTTTCTAAATCAAATTTGCATGGGAACAAAATGACGTAGATGCTTTGATAATTAAGTGGATTAGTGCTTTAAAAAATAAAATAGTAACAAAATGACGTGTTATTTGGAATTAAAGAAAATTATAAAGTTTATTTAAAAATTAAAATAGATAACATTTTATCGTACTTCATGAAAAGTCAAAATAGTATGTAAAGATTTTTTTGTCTTTGCAAGAAAGAAATGCTAGTTAACCTACGAATACTTGGGTGTTCTTCTCCGTCTAGAAGATTTTTGTCAGCGAAGTTGGGAGGTGTACGTGGATAGTGGCAATATCGTTGTTTGGAGAATTTGGTGATGTCAAATTAGTAATTGGAGAAGAGAACCCATGTTTTTTAGGCATTGCCACCTGTCTCATTCAAATCGTATTCGGAAACCTAAGGTTTGAATTTTAAAATACTAATTAAAGTGAACAATTTTACCAATTAATTATGGATTTGGTTAGTCGCTTACTGTCGCATTCATTGACCAATATTAGTCCCCCGTATCCATCCACAAATAATGTTAGACACTAAACACTTTTTCTGTTGATTTTCTTTTAGAATTCACCAAATTTGGGCTTCGCCAATTCTAAGTGGATAAGATTCTAGCTTCATATTATTATTATTATTATTTTGTTGGTTACGAGTTTTAATCAAGTGGGATGTGGAACTCTGTCGTCCAAGATTTAAATAAGTATTTTTAATTCTATATTCGATGTTTTTACTTAAGCAAATACCAGTATATTATGATTTTATATACAATTTAATCCAAATAAATATATTGGTGTAGTGTACTTTGATGGTTCACATTGTTATGTTTCGAATTTTTGATTTTTGACTTTTTTTTTGCTAGTTGGTATTTACACATACGTCTCTTTTGAGATTTGAATCCCTAACCTCCTTTTGGGAGGTAAGAGGTTGATACTGCTAGGTTACTTGTCCGTTGATTTCGAATTTTTGATTTTGATGTAAGCTTTTGCGGTGAGTACAATCCAGACAAGGTTTACTTATCCATGACTTGTTCATTTTTCATTTTTCCGCTCCGTTAAAATTAGTAACAATCCAAGAGAACTGAGCTCAAATTTGATTTGTACATATATCTAATGTAATCTTTAATGTTGTAAATGACGTTTTATCCGTAAATAGTGATAATAATAATTTTTTTTAAAAAAAAATACATACATAAACATGCATTGAGAAGGCAAATGAGCAAACCCATCATTGTTCATAAATTGGTTTATGGAGGCCTTTCCATCATAGTTCATAAAGGCCTTTAAAATTAGAACCACTAACGGGGCGAGCCTTTAAAGAGTCACAGCTAGGTTATATTTATAGTCCCGTGCGGCAGGACCCCGCCCAATGGACACACAAATCAAATCTTGGGCCTATTTGGTTCAAGCAGTCTTGCGTTTTTTTTGTTTTTTTTATTTATTTTTAAAAAATAAAAAATAAAAAATAAAAAAAACTTAAAATTTTAATGACTACTAATATGGCAAGAAATTAACACATTCACTGCATAAAGACTAAAATCATGGACCTTTTATTTAAAAATTTAAGAAAATATCACTCTGCTACTGCCCTTTTTGATGTCAATGTATACATGCATAACCGTAATAGATAATTAAACTTAATATTATCATAATTTTAGTCAACTAAGTACAACAACGTGGATACCATATCCAGAATCTGATGGAGAGAATGAGGCAGACATTAAGATTAGAATTGTAGTGTATTTCTGATTTTAAGAGGGTATGGTCAGAAATGTCACCCTCATTAGCACAGGATGTCAATTTTCAAGTTCGTTAACTGGTACATTAAATCTTTGTTTAATAAAACAAATAAATAAAAAACGTGATTAATTCTGGGAGACAATTCATCTTTCGTGTGACCAATAATGTGTTGTTTGGCTCAACACAAATAATATGTAAATGATATAATAATTGTTTTTAATTTGTAAACACACACACATATATATATATATTATCATGATTTTATGAGGATAGGTTGTGGTTGCATTAATTCTAACTGTTACATGTGAGGGAGGTGTAATTGGCAGGTGAGCAATGAGCATGCACAACAACCGACTCAGCATCTCATTCAATCTCTCTCTCTCTCTCTCTCTATCCTTTTCAACGGGTCTATGGTTTGTTGAGCTAAAAGCAAAATACAGGAAAATGCTTTGGCAAAATACATATATACATATATATACACACACATGTATTTAATATGTATGTTGGTGGTGCGGCTAATGTGGTCAATTCTTCCACCTTTTATTCACGTTATGATGTGTGTTTGATGTTACAGATTTCCTGAATTTGGCGGCTTTTATTACTGTTGTTCCAAGTTGTTCAATGAAGTTTTTTTTTTTTTTCACAAGTCAAATAAGTTCAACGAAGTCGCGTGTGTGTGTTAAACAAGAAAAAAGCAACTTGTTATTCACTCTGAATATCTGAATCCGAACAAAGGAAGGGAACTAAAGCACCATACTACATGGTGAGACCCTTAGTCCCTTTTGCTCGTCTTAGGGTGTGAAAAGGACTTATTAAAAATGAATTCCAAACACATTAAAAATTAAATTATTTTGGTATTTAAATTTAAATGAGCGAGTCAATAATTAATAAAAAGTGTGTAACTATTTAATTCAATGATTAATAATGGGTTAATTTTAAGAGTGGGTATTCATTTTAACTGCTCAAACAAATTCCTGTTTTTTTTTTCACTCTTCTGTCTTTTTCTCTCATCTGTTTTCTCTCGTAAAAAAGAAAAAAAGACAAATTTTGTCGTTTGAAATCAAAAAATTAATATAAAAACAATTTTATTTTTTTTGTTCTCTCCGTTTCTCTCTCTTCATTTTTTTTTTGGTTAATGTTAAGAGTGGGTATTCATCTTAAGTTTTTAACTGCTCAAACAAAATCATGTTTTTTTTTTTTTTTTCACTCCTCTCTCTTTTTCTCTCATCTGTTTTCTCTCGTAAAAAAAGAAAAAAAACAAATTTGTAACGTTTGAAATAAAAAAATTAATGTAAAAACAATTTTGTTTTTTTTGTTCTCTCCGTTTCTCTCTCCTTCGGTTTTTTTTTTTTTTTTTTGGTGTGATAACTCTCCCATTCTCTCTCTCTCTCTCTCTCCCGTCCGTTTTCTTTCTTCTTTTTCTTTATTTGGGTTGTGAGTCTATGATAACTCTCTGAGTAAGTTGTATAGTAATTTTTTTCCAAAC